CAAACTCCAGAAGACGGTATTATTTATATTAAATTTGTTTACACTGAATAGCTTATATTAATCTTGGAATGCCAAGTGTAACGGAGAAGATGTCTTGTGTTAAAATCATATAACCCCAATTTGATCTACATAAAGACTCCCTATTTTCGCGGGCCTGTAGGTTTTTTTTTTATTACTGCTAGTGGGGTGGGACTAAGTCCCTTATACTGCGGCCATTTCTGGCCTATTGTACCAGCCCCAGATGATAGGTGAGGGTGATTGTGGAGCAATTGGTGGAATGAAGATTGGCAGGGGAAACCGAAGTACTCGGAGAAAAACTGCCCCAGCGCCACTTTGTCCACCACAAATCCCACTTACCAGACCCGGGATCGAACCCGGGCCGCCGCGGTGGGAAGCCAGCGACTAACCGCTTGAGCTATAGCGCGGCCCGACCTGTAGGCTTAGTGTAATGTAGTTTTTATCGGATTACCTTTGTGGCCGAAATTAATATTTTGTTGCATAAATATACGTACTTTTGTGTATACTTTGAAATTTCAATAGATCTGCTAGCGTGGGAACTAAGTTCCATTCTTGCATGAAACATGCACAGAATGAATAGGATGTTTTTAACATGAATCAGTTATTTATTCTCTAATTAAGCTGCGACGTAATTGACAGCTGGATTTGCAAGAAGGTGATATGTAGGAAAGTCTTCACTCTAGAGCTATGAATAGATGTTCTTGTCTGCGAGAGAGAGGATCCGTGACAGGCGCAAGTCTCTGGTACGCTAATTGTTAGGAGAAAATAACAAGGATGTGATGACAGGCAGTTTCCTTACGCGAAGTGTGACAAACGCAACAGGGGCTTACTTCAAGAAATGGGGATCTGTATTATTAAACAAGGCACGAGATGAAATGAGTTTCTTGGTGCTGACAATGCTGAACAAACCTTTTCTTTACTGTTATGACACTATCAGTTTGTAATTTCGAACGGTAAGAACTGATGGATAAGTAAAGAAGTAAAAGTAAAGGTATCCCTGTAACAATAGGGTTGTGAGATGTTTGGGTTCCCACATTTTCTAGACAGTCAGCTCATAGATGGCGGTAAGGTTGTCAGATATTACTACGGAAACAATAAACACAAGTAACGCAAGTATTAAAATATTTACAGAAAATATGATAAAGTAAAATATAGGCACTGCTATCTTTCTTTTCAATTTCTCGCACATAGCGAACCAAATTGAAAAAATTCGAGATTGGAAGCACGAGATTCTATTTTTAAAACGCGTTTTGTACGCCTACCAAGGGGTATGATTAATTTCGCTGCCTTTATATTTTGTCCGAGGCTTCTTGTGATCTTTCGTAACAAGCTTATTTTTACGGCGAGGAGTTGTTAGCCCCACGCCCAACCCCCAAGCTGGAGGACCACCCCTTCTCGGTTGTCCGCGACTGCTTATTCAATATATCCGCAGCTTCCCAATGATCAAGTCAAGGAGAATGAGGTTGGCAGGGCATGTAGCACGAATGTGGGAGAAAAGGAAAGCATATAAGATATTGGTGGGAAGCCAGAAGGAAAGAGACCATTGGGAAAACCAAGGCGTAGGTGGGTGGACAATATTAAAATGTATCTTAGAGAGATAGGATGGTATGGATTGGATTGATCTGGCTCAGGATAGGGACCATTGGAGGGCTCTTGTGAACACGATTACGAAACTTCAGGTTCCATAAAATGCTGGGAAATTCTGGAGTAGCTACACAATTGATGGCTTCTCAAGAAGGGCTCAGCTCCATAAGCAAGTTAAGTTATATTCTGTGCTTAGAAATGTTAGCGCTACGGTAGCTTTCTCTTTAAAATGCAAGACTATAAGATGATCTAATGACCAGGGTGCCATTTTAATGAGCTCTCAGATTATTATCTGCATCCGGTACATTTGAACTACCGCTTCTAGAGCCAAATGCAGCCCCTAAAATCCATTCTATTAGAGCATTGTTTACTTACTTACTCATGGAGCTGAGCCCTTCTTCAGGAGCCACCAATTTTGCAGCTACTCAAGAATTTCCCAGCATTTAATTCCTGTATTTTTGGCATCATTAACATTTTATAGGGCATATCAGAGCTCTTGGAGCTAGTTACAGGCTTCCTACAGCAGTGGAAGAGATCAAGTGGGATTTGTGATGGACAGAGTGGCACTGGGGCGGTTTTTCTCTGAGTACTTTGGTTTCCCCTTCCAATTATTATTCCACCAATTGCTATATCATCTGATGACGTAGTCTTAATACTGACGAACAAACTAAACAGAGAGCAAACTACATGGCTTTAGTCCGCAAGCGAAATATACCGACCGAACGACCGCCGATTAACGGCGAAGTTAGTGCCAACTTTAGCGGATAGAGGGTGTCGCGTGACCAGCGCAACGAATCCCCACGGCCGTTAATTTCGGTTTTCTAGACCCGTTAAATAGGGTGTAGGTAAAATAAAGGTAAAGCTGTTCCTGTGCGTAACTAATTAAGCACTACGCCATGAAGGCGTATGGAAAAGTGGATGTATAGATCCACATTTTCTTGACCTTAGCACTAGCCGGAAGTGAGCGGTCGGCTTTACGCCCCGGCCTCTTTACCCCGTGGAAAGAGCCCCCGGTACCCCATGAATGGGAGGTTGGGTGGTCCCCAGAGTCGATCTGGACATTGAGAAGGGAAAATTCTTGACCCTATCGGGACTCAAATTCCGACCTCTCGGCCGCCTAGCCCATAGCCAGTCGCTATGCCGACTAAGCTATCGAGGCTCCTCATCGTTAAACAACGAACTGAAAAAATCTCTTCGTTGTCACTGCCCTGCAGATTAGTTTAAAGACAAATGCAGATAATCAAGGTCCAGGACCACGAACAGGTAACCTCTAGCTTAAACACTGTTTGTCACAATGTGCTTATTAGCCACTATTAAGATACTTTGTTGTACATAACTGAGCTTCATCAACTGCACAGGTTATAGTTATTCAAGGGCAGGATTGTTATAAATGCGAAGGGGACATGAAGTGAAGTGAAGTGAAGTGAAGTGAAGTGAAGTGAAGTGAAGTGAAGTGAAGTGAAGTGAAGTGAAGTGAAGTGAAGTGAGGTGAGGATGTGAAGGGTATGTAAGTGTAGCGAAGTGGAAGGAAGGGAAGGCCATTGTGAAATGTGGGCGCACCAGAACATGACATTATATATTCCATTACTTTTACTGTTTAGCATATAACATACTTAATTTTTATTAATATTAATTTATTTAATTGTAGCTGTAAATCGTCTTTGCATTGAATTCACTTTATGTAGTGTTTTCCTTTATTGCTTGCTTAGTTTTGTGTGCTGTGTTTTGTTTGAGTGTGATATGTTATTTTATGTGATGTGTGTTATTTTGGTGTTGTGTCTTATTGTAGTATCACTGCCAATAGGTAAGAACCCATTTTCAGTTTATATATAATAATAATAAACACGTAATATGGAAGGTTATGGAATGAATCAGTCACGGACAATTTATAGGGTATTATTCTATAACTGGACCAAATTCTCTGAAAACCCCGGAAAACCTTACAATATTCAGCCTCCAGTTATGTCAGTTTTCATTAAATTCACAGCAATGCAGCAAAATATCAAACAAAAGAATAAATTAAACAAGATTTAACCTGTAGAGTATTATATTCTGGGATGTAACATTGTGTAGTCTGGTAGAAGTTTACCTGCATTTAATGGAATGTACTGCCTTCAATTTCAAGGTCTGTGAAGCAAGTAGGAAAACAGTAAGAAACATGTGACAAACAGCATGTTTCTCTGAAACATTCGTGGTTTCTTACTGGACTACACGCGTTGTATCCCAGAAAATAGTATGCTTTATAGTTGCTGATGTGAAATCCCCCAGATAACAACAAATTTACATGGTTCTGTATCAGAGTATCATAGTTACAGATGTCCTGCATATTTACAAGTGACATCTCCTGAATCAACATACCCAACTACTGCATCATCAACATGCTCTGACAAAAAGGGCTGGTCTATTTTCATATTTAAGTAGAATCCATTTGTATAATGCTGTTACTTGAATAATGTATGAGGTCTGACAGGAGCAACGCAGCAGTGTGTCATTCTGTCATTCTCCTGTAGGTTAGCATATACACTTAGCTTATCTGCAATTTAAATTAAATGCCCTTCTGTATGGTGCCTCTGGTTAAGAATCTGATTTCTGTAATACTATATGAAAGATTATATTTCATCTGTAAAGCACATACTGATGAATATTATATGTACAGTTTATATTAGATATGTATTTAAACATCTTTTTATTCTTTTGATTATATGAAGGAAGCTAACAAAGTTACTGGCATGACTGACTACCACTCCTTGCATCACAACACTGTTTCATGTTTACCGTGATTTTCTTTTGGCCCTTCTAAAGCATATCATTAAAATATGCCAATGAACATCATGCCAAGTGAGTAGCAATAGCAACTGGAAGGTCGTGGGTTCAAATCTCAGCACAGAGGCAGTATGTTCTGACTTTGATTTTTCATTATTTTGCTCAGTTCCCCAGATAAATGCCGAGATGGTACCTCAAATTATGTTGTAACTACTTCATTATACAGCATCATTTTATCATTCTATGTTCATAGTGTAAGTCACTGGCAATGTGTTAAATAAACCGCAATCAAAATAAATACAAAAGTATTTAATTAATTTTAATGGCCTCTTCTTCCCAGGTCCATTTAACTAACTCCATGTTTCTGAATCTGTCTTGGGAAACAAATAGTTGCTGAGCTAGTAAAGAAATTGCAAGTGTTTGATGAAATCTGAAGGTTTTCACAAGTCCCTATCCCGAGAAATGTAACACAGTTCACAATCTCAAACTCTAGTCCTCTACTGTAAATCAAAGATATGGTTCCACTTATTTACACACCCAGAATATGTCTTGTGACCAATATATTGTGTCAAATTATTCCTTTTATAGAAATATAGGTCTAATTCTAAGAAAATGTATATTTTTGAATGACATACCTCATGGGACACCTTGTAAGGCGAGATGAGGTTGGGATGTAAATCCTGAAGTCAGTACTGAGGAAACTGTTTCACGAAGATGGGTGAACTATGTAGATTGAACTAACTCGAGACATTGTTCAGCAACAAATTTCCAGTCTTGATGACGATTCCAGCACCATTTCTTTATAGCAATCTCTGAAGGTGACAGATTTCAGAGTTTGGTAGTCATTCAGCAATCCCAAGGAAGAGATCTGAAATTGAACTGTCTGAAAACAAGAGATGCATCACGTTGAGTAAAAGTCAATACAAAATTTCAGGGAAGAACTAATTCCATTATTTCCTTTAATATGATATGGGCAGAATAGAAAACGTCGTGTTTTAACAGTTATTCTACTGCTGCAGTAACGTTTTTAAAGAGCCATAGTGTATCAATGACTGGGGATAAACTTTTTGACACACAGAGCAATGGGAGTGATGTATGAAGTACCATGTTGAGATGGGCTCAAGTGCCATGATATATATAAAATGTTTCATAAAAACTGATTCAGACATTCAAAAGTTGCTGGGGGGGATTTCACAGAGAGACAGACAGCATGGTAATCCACAAGCCTAATTTTATATCTTCAAAACAAGTAAAGTCGGCTAGTATAGCTGAGTACACTGACTGAAGAGAGAAAAGCAAGAATATATTTGACATGTATGTACATATTTATAGTTGAGAAAAACAAATTGCACTCACATTATGACATTTTATTAATAAATATAAAAAGGTAAAATTTTCCCTGTGCTTAGCTAATTAAGTACTACACCATGAAGACATATAGGGGAGTGGATGTATACAGCCACAAATTTACTTGACCTCGACACTAGTTGGAGATTAGTGGTCAGCTTCACGCCCCTGCCACTCTACTCAAGGGAAAGAGCCCCTGGTACCTACTGGATAGGAGGCTGTGTGGGCCTCAGACCTGGTCTGGAAGACATGGAGAAGAGCAAATTCTTGACCCTATCAGGACTCAAAAATCCAAACCCTCGGCCACCCAGCTCATAGCCAATCACTCTACCAAGTATGCTATCCTGGCTCCTAACAAATATAAAGGCAAAATTTTATTTCTCATAATTTTGTAGAATAATTCATAGCAAATATATTTTCTCCTTTTTGTGCAATGGAAAGCTGTCCACTTTTCTGTATATGCTTCCTATTTCATAAGCACAGATACGTTTTTTTTTCTATCAGCATATTCCTATGTTTACATCTGGCCAAAATTGTGAGCTTCTGGTATTGTCTGGGCCAATTTTTTTTTTTAGGATAAGAGTACAATATGATGACCATGGAATATATATCTTCAGTTTCAAATCTGAAAGCAGTACTTATTGACCTGTTGAAGCTAGGCATATAAAAATATGATGTGAAGGTAGATAATTCTTTCAATGGTAACAGCTGAAAACATATGTTCATTGGTTCTTTCCTGTTTTATGTTCTGGATATATATAGTAATTATGTTAACCATCAAGACAACAAATATACTAGCTTTTAATGTTTTATAATTCGACCATTATTGCTGCTACATGTTTCAGCCATATAGATGATCATCAGGCAGTTATATATAGGCGTACGTATAGTTATTGAAGAATTCTATACGTATTCCTATATATATTGCCTGATGATGATCTTATATGACCGAAATATGTAGCAGGAATAAAAGGTTGAATTGTAACACATTAAAAGTGAGTATATTTGTGGTGTTGACGGTTAACATAATTCCTATATATAGTTAAAAACAAGGTGATGATGTGATAGTTTGACGTTATAATAAACAAAATTTAGAATGAAAATTATGCTGTCAAAATTTATGTACAGAAGTTGGTCATTGAATGACAAAATTATTAAACTACTTTCTAATAGTTTTGCTCCTCCAATTCACTGGTACCGGCTTACCAGGTGGTGCGAACCTCAGAACACAAAAGTAATAGACTCATAATAACAAATGTAGTATCTTCAGAGAACTTCTTTTTTCACTGCACTACAATAATCATAAAACTTCTTTTGGATTCTATAAATAATCTTATATTATTGTTAACTTTCAATTGAACGTTTTTAGCCTTTCATCTGAATGAAAATAGCAAGCCTGCTAACAGGTCTTCATAAACTACTGAAATGTCTTACATGGTACAATATGCTTGGTCCAAGTTCTATAATTATGCACCTCCAGCAGTTATTGTGTACCTCATTGATGCTCAGATTATAGCAGTAATGCAAAAAATTTCTAAAAAAAATGTGCTTTGTGCAGTTGCTGTATTCTGCCTCCATTCATTTGAGATGTGATGACCTTTCATGTATGAAATTGTGGCTCGAGAGCACAGGCATGTAAAACTCCAGTGAACAGCTACATGTGTAGTAATACCGCATCTCATATGATAGGTAGCTAAACTAAGATTAAAGGGAATTTATACTTCCTGCAACATATAGCTTGAGTATCAGAGAAGTATATGATATAGAAATATATGTTTAATTTGTATCAAACGGAACGATTTATAGAAATATTCTGTGTCGAGTGAAAAGCAATGAAAGATTTCGTTCATGTGCTTTATGTGCTTCGTGAAATGAAAGGTAGACTGTACCAAGTAAATCTGAAACAGAAAGCAGTCTTCTGGGATGTGGCACTGTGTAGATGTGGTGTTAACCGACGTTTCGGAGTAACGTATCGCCTCCATCTTCAAGGTAGAAGGAAAAATAAGAAAATCTGCGAGCAAAGAGACCGTGAGAACCGGTACAAGCAGACTGAGAAAATATACTCAATAGAAGGGCGCCAAAATTTTAAATGAAATAAAAAGACAGAAGAAAATCAAGAACAAGAAGGTTAAGCAAGGTTGGAAGACAAGAAGAGATGAAACAGCCATGAAGAAATGACAAGGGAAGATCGTGGGAAGAAAGTACAGACTGGAGACTTTTGTCTTGGAACAGACATGAAACTGAAGAATGGAAGTAGAAGAGGGAAAGAGAAGAGGGAGGAAAGAAGTAGAATGGGAATAAGGAGATGGACAAGAGGAAGAAAAATGAAGGAAAGTAAAAGAGAAAGAGATGAAGAAAAGAAGGAAAAGAAAGAAAACAGGAGAAATGGCAGGAAAGGAGGAGGTTGATAATGAAGATGATTTTGTTATGGCTTCCAGCATTTTTTAATCTCTCCTGAACTGTTTTCATTTGAAAAATTGTCTCTCCTTTTATGATTTCTTGTTGTATGCATGGTTCAGAAAACATGCAGTTGATTATTAAACCTCAAGTATGCATTTTACGCATTAGTAAATATCACCATTTTGATGGCCCAAAGTTACAGCAACTTATTTTTGTTTTCAGGAAATATTTTGAACGAATGTCATCGAGATTAAAATAAACCGAGAAAGAAAGCGAAATTAACTCCTGCCAACATGTGACATATTGTACATGAACTCTGACATTTTGATAAATTTAAGTAAAGTAAACTCACGTTTTTTAAGTATACATCATATCTTATAAACAAACAGTCCTGTTTGAGAAATTTAAACTTGTGGACTACAAAGGACAGACCGAAAGCAAGACAGTATGAGTCATGAAACTTCAATCAAGCTCCTGTCTCTGGTAGTTTATGAGATGTACTGGTTATAATCATATTTTCTCACATAGAAGACTGATATGTAGATATCAATGAGTCTTTATAAAAAGTAGGAACTTTTATAAATTTATTGTAAGAAGCAGCACCTGTGGGGTGCTGGTATATGCTCCTCAGACAGAAGACTATATTCTTACATTGTTATATTCTGTTGCAGGGCCTCAACATGAGTTGGGAGGGGCAACCAGTACAACTGGTAGTACAGCACCTGACAAACCCCTGTCAACTGCGTGGCAGGCGGCGCTTGGGGCTACAGCAATGAGTGCCAACAAGAAGCGGCCAGTACGTCGAGGGGGGAAGCCTCCCCCTGACCGGCCCCAGAGAGCACTTTTCTGCCTCCCTCTCAAGAATCCCATCCGGAAGTTATGTATTGATGTTGTAGAGTGGAAGTATCCTTTCTATAATCCTACATAATTATTAGAATTTAATCTCATGATGTCCAAATAAAAGGTATTTGTATGTATGTAAAGTAGGATGGACAGCAAGGAAAAACATCCTAATGCTATAAAGGCCAGGAATGATTAGTGCTTTTAAACTTCAGCTATAAACATAGCAAAATATTTGTGATATAGACCTGTTGCTTCTGTGCAACTTCAGATTGTGGTTGCTTCATGAACATGAATATTTTAGGTAAGTTGTGACATTCAGGCATATGAAAGTCTATTCCTATGTTGTTCTTGGCAGCAACAGTTCTTGCAAATATGGTTTCAAGTTTGACGGTTCAAAGGAAGGTATAATTTTGTGCATTAGAATTTATGTTAATACATTAAACATGTAGACATCCATTGCAACATCTTTCAAAGATAACTCGGGCATAACTGGCACTGCATTCTATCGTACATAAAATGAAAATATCATACAAAGTAATGTAAATATCTCATTTTCACATCCACCCTGAAAGGGCAGATTAGTGTAGGAGAAAAATAAATGCTGAGGTAAGAGACTACACTAAAGAAAATATTTCCTTCAATTTTTATCTGATCAAATTATTTGTATATGACGTGCACATTCTTAAGGCTTCTGTACAGAAATATAAACTTTTTTCAGATTATATTTTCCTGGTAAAGGAAGGATACTATGTAAAATGCTCATCAATCACAATTTTATACTTTTAACAAGTAACTGATAGACTCAAATTGTCGGTGAAATCAGTTACTTTATTGAGATGTTACTTTTTCTACACGTTTTGGTCACTTACAACCATCATCGAGCATTTATAAACATAAAATACATCCACGTTCATTATTAGACTGCATGTCACAATGGTCTCACTGCCAATAGTCGTCATGCAAAAAGCTTTCACGTAGGATTAATATATAAATATGTTGAAATACTTGTCTAAAATTAGTAATGCTTATTTAAAATTATTGTTATTTTCTAAAATTATCCTATTATACAATTTGGGAACTGAACAACAGAACAACCAGGACATAACATTCATTCTGGAGGAAACAGAGAAAGGAACAGCGCTCAGAGTGGACATACATCGATTGCAGTCCCACGAACAAAATTCACTGGGACCAGTGGGAATCCCAAACTGTGATGAATGGCATGATAAAGCGCCACAGGAAATCTGCTGACGGGCGATCTAAATAGCCCAGATTCTCCCTCAGAAGACAGTGAATGAGGTGCTGACAGAACTACATGGTGGACAATCACCCCAGAGTCTCCCTTAGAAGACAGTGAATGAGGTGCTGACAGACCTACATGGAGGACAATCACCCCAGATTCTCCCTCAGAAGACAGTGAACGAGATGCTGACAGAACTACATGGAGGACAATCAGGAGGTCAACTGGGTGTCAACAAGACCCTCAGCAAGGTCTAGCAAAGGTTCTACTGGCTGCAGGCAAGAAAAGATGTTAGGAAGTGGTGCCAGCAGCGTGACACCTGCGAAGCCAGTAGCGGCTCCTGAACAGCAATTGGGGCTAGATGCATCAGTACAGTGTCAAGGCTCCTTTCAAAGGGATAGCTATTAATGTAGCAGGGCCCTTCCCACGAAATGAACAAGGAAACCGATAGTTCCTGATCGTTATGGATTATTTTGTGAATTGATTGGAATACTACGCTGTTCTCATTCAAGAAGCTTCAGTAGCAAAAGCGCTAGTTACCAACTTCTGCCACTCTGAAGGGAGAGACATAGTGACCAGGACAGTAACTTTGAGTTTCGTCTGATACAAGAGGTTTTGCAATTCTAGGAATGAGCAAGACGCACACTATGCCCCTGCACCCACAGTCGGACGGCATGGAGTGCTACATTAAGACCATCAAGGAGCGCCTACAGAAGGTCATTGCATCACACCAGAGAGATTGGGGAGCAAGATTACCCATCTTCTCCTGGCGTACAGGGCATTCACTCACGACAATATTGGCTTGACCTCAGCTGGCTTATTGTTTGGGAGAGTACTCCCACTGTCCTGAGACCCTGTTTGGAGCACCCTGTGACAAGGAACGACCCATGAATGATTATGCAGCAAATTTAGTGGATCATCTACAAGACATCCACAATTATGCCTAAAAATACTTCAAGCTGGCCAGTGAGCAGATGAAAAATTGCTACAACAGATTATAAATGAGGTTTGGATTGTTATTTGGATATACTGAACTCTTACAAAACGTAACTACAATTAACTGCGGCGCTATCAATAATTCATACACTCCACAGTACACTACAACATGTACAAAGTCTTCTCAGTCTGCTGTGCCTTCACCAGTTGTTGTCTGGTAACGGCTTTCAACAGCGGACGTTTCTATTACTGTGGGTTCCCAAATTACCCCTGTACCTCACCAACCAGCTTCTAACAGCAACACCTCACAAGGACTGAAGTGCAGAAGTCATGTAACTAATAAACTCACTCAGCAACCAACTCGTTCCATCATACTGCACTGCACTGCACTGCACTGCACTAACTGTACTACCTCAATATTATATTTAAGCATCCTGTTGCACTCCATATGATAAATGATATAAACTCCGTCTCAAGTGCAAACAATATATTTTGTGTCTTTGATCTTGCTCCCTACACTACATGTTTCGGCCTCAGACGGCCATCATCAGGTGTATAACACTCACGTCGCTGTCACACTGCACCCAGTTCAAAATTTAACATCTAAAACACTCTCCCTGTCATTATCAACTTCTACTTCGTTGATAGCTGTCCACCCGTAGATTACTTCACACACGTTAATTTTGAGTTTATTGTAATAGCACCATAATAAAATCTTTAGTTCTAATTTTAAACCTTTAAATTCTTGTCCAAATTTTAAAATTTTTAAAATTGTTAGGGTATTCTTTAATAAGTGAGCACACGTAGTAAAGAATAGCAGCGGCACGCACACAGAAAGACTACACAGGATAACACCTATACAGTGTGGAAACAAGAACTAGCCGCTGCAGCACTTCAAACACAGGGCGAATAACCCTAACAATTTTAAAATTTTAAAATTTGGACAAGAATTTAAAAGTTTAAAATTAGAACTAAAGATTTTATTATGGTGCTATTACAATAAACTCAAAATTAACGTGTGTGAAGTAATCTACGGGTGGACAGCTATCAACGAAGTAGAAGTTGATAATGACAGGGAGAGTGTTTTAGATGTTAAATTTTGAACTGGGTGCAGTGTGACAGCGACGTGAGTGTTATACACCTGATGATGGCCGTCTGAGGCCGAAACATGTAGTGTAGGGAGCAAGATCAAAGACACAAAATATATTGTTTGCACTTGAGACGGAGTTTATATCATTTATCGTACTACCTCAACTCGGTCAGTCGAGTGATATTGCCTTAGAGTGGGCCCACAGAATACACTACCTCCTACTTCCACTGTTGCACACACGCCGCTGCCTAGCAACGACTCCAGTACTGCTGTGTATTTATGAAGCTGTTACTTAGCAGTGGCCGTTGTCTCACTGTTTGTTTCGCGGTCGTTGCCTAGCAACGGGTCTGTATGCAACAGTAATATGAATTGAACTACAATGCAGCAGAATGTTGCATCATGGAATTCAGAAGAACTATTATTGTTGGAGTTTATTTTGTTTTCCTTGACATAAATATCAGACCATTTGAGTACCTGATTCTGTTAACCATCTTTGCCAATTGTGTGGCCTTGGCTGTGTACACACCCTACCCCAACAGTGACTCCAACAGCACAAACCTTTATTTGGTAAGTTTTACTACATATATATATATATATATATACATTTCAGTAACATATATTTACTTGTAGTTCTTTATTTCATGATGTTGTCAGCAGCTGAGGGCCATTAGGGTTCAACAGCTGGATGACCAAAATAATTAGAAAGAATGTGGAAGGATGCGGTCATTGCTTAATTTAAGGTATTATACTGATAACTTCACAGTAACAGAGGGAAACCATAAAATACATCAGTTAATGATAGTCAGTGTCATGACCAAGATACTGATACTGACAGGAATCTTATTGCATTTGTGTTTGCCAACATCATTTATATTGTATACAATACTAAAATGTCAATATTCATATCCATAAATTAATGTTGTATTAATCTATGTAGTATTAAAAACATACAAATACTCTTTCAATTTCTATGTTCACAGGAAAAGATAGAGAATGTGTTTTTAGCGATCTTCACAGTTGAATGTGTGATGAAGATCATAGCATATGGTTTAGTGGCCCACCCTGGGGCATACCTGCGCAATGGATGGAACTTGCTAGATTTTACAATAGTAGTAATAGGGTGAGTATCAGTTTCCACGTAATGAATTCAAAGTACATGCAAGTACACATACCGTTTGTATACTGACTTCCTAATAACAAATTGCATAATACAAATCTCGCAATAGTCGGATGATCATTCACAAACAGTTCAAATGACAAGGCTACAACAGAATGAGAACATTTTGAAGTATTTTACTCTAAAAGTATTTCACTTCAACTTTTATACATTATTTTATTACATAGCAGAATGTTATATAGTGCTTTATATTGTGACATGTGACCCCTACCTCCCCGGCGGTAACGTAGCGCTTGCGTAATAGGCGAGTCATCACCCCACCACTCTCCCTGCGGTGACGTCACCAAGGGATATCACGGTCGCTAGGCAACACGGATAAACAGTGATGCCTACCACGTGGTTGTTTTCTCGTTGACCTGCTGAGGGTTTATAAGCGAGCTACCTCTGAGTTAGTTCTGAGTTCGCAAGTTACGAGTCTGCGTGTGCGACAACTAAGAAGTCAGCGAGCGGAAGACTTATTGTGTGCTTTCGATACTTAGTGAGTGCTGTAGTACAGTTATATTTGGAGTGTGTAATTCAGGGAGACTTGTATAGCTCCCGCGTTATTAGTACGTGAAGACAAGTGAAGATCGTGTTAAGAGACTTTGTTGTAGGGTTTGTAAAGTGTGGAAACCCGTAATATTGTGATAATTAATTGTAGCCGTTATTTGTAGATTGTTAAATAAACCAATTAACCATCTCTATGGCGTCTTCTGTAACGAAACACGTTACAATATTTCATTCTATCAGAGTTTAACACATTGCCATAAATAATAACTTTATACATCAGAAAATAATTATTAAACATTTGCACCATTCAGTTTCAATTCTCTATGAAATGTTCCCTTTTTCAGTATCATGTACATTTAACAAGAAAATTCCAAAAAGTTATGTGTTCTGTTTAACCAGTACGACCAAAATTAATGTTGAGTTAAGTTTTCCAGGGGTCTCAAATGCAGGTTTCATCAGAATCCATCAGAGTGTTCAGAAATCTGAAGAGGTAATGGATAGGTGTATGACTGACTGAAAGGAAAATGGTCCATGTATTCATACACACTGGTGCAATATTCAACTACCCCTTCCTACACTTTTGAAGTACAAGAAAGTACAATAGCAGCACTTTCAATTATAGTGATACAAACTCTAAAAGTAGCATGACACAATTACTACTCCGTTTTGGAGATAACAGAAAAATGGCTGAATCTTGTATCATTTTTTATTAGTGCAGCAATATTGCCAGTATACATAGGGAATAAGTACTGTAGACAGAGTAAGTTCTTTCAGGAATAGGATCAGAGATGTGACAACATTCAAACAGAAACTTCACTCAAATTTGTGATACTGGGTAATGACCTCAAAACAAACAGCGAAACAATAGTCGCTGCTAGGCAACCAAATCTTAATAAGAGAAGTATACACGGCCATTACAGGGTAACACCTTCATGAATAAACACATTCTCACAGAAACGATTGGAGTACAGCGAAAGGTATTCTCTGCACAGTCCGTGTAGAGATGTTATAACTGAGACAGGTTTAGAAGCTAGTTAGTTTTAACAGAGTCAATCGTCGAGAGAGTTGTAAGGGAATCTGTGTAGAGAAGACTTGGGTTGGTGCAGTTGAGAAATCCCCACTGCTAAAAGCCATTATCAGGGAACGACTGGTGAACACACAAGACTGAAGACTTAGCATGTGATGTAGTAATTTGTAAAATTTGAAAATTAGCATTGGCGCTATAATTAAGTGTAGTCGCAAGTCATGCGTTAAAATGGTCAATAAATCCAATTTCTAATCCAAAACCCCATTGAGAGTCACTCTTACATGTGATAATATATATAAACACACAAATAAATTCGGGTGAACCACTTAACATTGTCCTCTCAGATAACTCATTTTTTATCCACTGAATCAGGACGAGTTACAGACAAATCTTTTGGGGTTTCAAGTGGGACATGGGACGCATGGAACAAGTTCTTTATATCTTGAATGTTTTAAGAGATACCAAGGTCCACGCTACATTTTTCTCTGCCACAGAATTTGTAGAGTAGATCCATACGAATCCAGCAACCATAATCTAAGTTCCATTACTAGGAACCATTCGTGAGATATAGCCAATCAGAGTACAACAATGATCTGTGTTGAGTGATTAAGCTTTTGCAATATGGTGAAGCAATAGAACGAGCTTACCTAAAACATGTTTCGGTCAAACAATGTGTTTTATATGCCCCAGCATCCGGTATATTCAAATTTTGTGCCATCTGAACACTGCCAACTGAGGTTAATGCTCACCCACTACACAGAATGGGACCGAACCAAGCCGGAGTCTGCTCAAACGACCTCGAGCAGTCATACGATGCTCCTTTAAGCCATATGTAGAATATTATACAGAGCCAACATGGGACATAAGGATTCTTCTGACTCATACGTATATGTATACTAAATCTGGTTGAGCATTTAATGGGAAAGCCCATGCAGAAGACCTGCCTATATCAGCAGCAACATATAACACGAAGCAGACCAAAAGTATTTGACATGATTAATGTACCTTCTACGATGACAAACTAAAGCAATTTAACTACGTTTTGACCATTTTGACAGATCTGGCCGATTTTGACTGTAACGTCATGCAGGAAGTACACCAGCACTACCTTGACGACGCATCCGAGTTCACTCGAACTTGGCCGAATGAGTCCGACCTAGAGTTACTACGGCTCGGCACTGCTCGAACTTGGACTTCTGACGTCATTCTGGTCAAGCACCCGAGCCACAAGGACATATGGCGCACCCCTAGCATATTCTCAGAGCAATAACATAACATGCTGATGATTAGCCAAAACGAAATTTGTTACCATACAATTAAAACTTGATGAAATCAAATAATCTCCTTGTGTATTGTGCCCAAAACATCTCTGAGGTTGCATCATTATCAGAAAGTGACGTAAATTGTCACTTTAGAAATCTATGAGGCTCCAGGTATTAAATGATAATTTTTTAAACTTTGGGCAGATTTCTCCACAAATCCCTAAAGCACTGCTATTTCAAGGTTTTATTATACACAGATGTTTCATCAACAGAATTCCAAAGTGGCGTACTGGAATTCAGCTGGCTATGTAGGCAGCTGGAGACTCATTTAGTATGAAGTTTACATTGCTATGAAAACACTAAACACATTTTCCCAAGGAAAAGATAATGAATCTAATTCAGTAGAGCAGAATAATTCTCATGAGCCTAATAGTCATGGGACCTGAAGGTTCATTTCCGCACACACACACACACACACACACACACACACACACACACAAGAGATCTCCACTGGATCCTATTTTCAGTCAGATAAATTCAGTACTATTTCTTTAGTCCAGACAGGCTCTGGGGCCCACCCAGCCTCTTATCCAATGGATACAAGGGGACTTTTGCCCGGGGGTAAAGCATTCGGGGCGTGAAGCTGACCACTCACCAACAACTAGTACTGAGGTCAAGAAAAAGTGGGTCTATACATTCACTGCCTTATGCGTCTTCACGGCAGTGTGTTTAATTAGTTAAGCACAGGGACAACTTTTTTTTTTCCTTGGCACTACAGCCCCAGTGGGCCTAGGCCTACCTCCATGAACTTCTCCGTTCACTTCGGTTTTTCTAGATCTTACACATTCGGTAGGACTCCTTGGGCGGGTGATCAGCTCGTCGCAAGGCCTCTACCTGTAGACAAACACAGAAAAACACACACAAACATTAATGCCCTGAGTGGGATTTGAACCCACGATCCCGGCTTCCGAGCGAGCAAAGACAGTGCATGCCTTAGACCGCTCGGCTACCGTGACTGGCACAGGGACAACTTTACCTTATTATATTTCTTTAAGGTCCAATTTAACACTTTCTCCCATTTATGCCTAGGTCTTCCTGAAGCCACCTTCCTTTTAGATTTTCCAATTTAAATATTGTACAAATTTCTTATCACATGAAGCAGGCTATATATCCTCTTGTCTCATAATTTTTTATATGATTACCCTTAGAGTATTTGATGATGAGTCCTTATTATTCATTATTCTCCATCCTCCTCTCACTTTCCGTATCTTAGAACTGAATATTCTCCTCAGCATCCTGTTTTCAAACACCCTCAGTCAATCAAATGAATGTTGCAGCGATGGTAATATTCAATAGTTTGGTATTAAGATTGTCTTATCATTTAGAATTAGAAATATAAAATATAGAAACTTATTTCTTTTCTTTACAGATTGTTAAGTTCAGCATTATCAAATTTAATGAAGGAAGGTTTTGATGTGAAAGCGTTACGAGCGTTTAGAGTTTTAAGACCACTGCGCTTGGTTTCAGGAGTTCCGAGTAAGTTTATAGGTGTTTACTATTATTGTTTCAGATAAAAATGTGTAAGAGCAAGAGGTAGTTTACAATGTCAAGATTTCATATGCAGCAGACACAATTAGGATTACTGAGTTCTGGACTTTGTCTATCGTAAAGTCTTCTAAAGAACACAATGTTTCAGAAACGGGACCTGTTTCAGTAATTCATAACGTTCTGTACAATTGTCATAACCCTTTAGAAATCACTAGTAATCGCAATATGGTAGTGTCAGTTTCAAAGCTATACTGAAGAAACATTCACACTGGAGGAGTTAGGAATTTGTTCTCCATATCTGTTTCAATGGCACGCAGTAGCATAGTTGGTTGAGGGGCTATGCTACAAGCCGGAAGGTCGCGGGTTCAAGCCCCGATGAGGTCATTGGATTTCTTTTTTCAATTGACCCAATCCTTCCAGCCACACTAGGCCCTGGAGTTTACTCAGCCTCTAACAGAAATGAGTACCAGGAATTAATTAAATAATTTTCCTGGGGAGTAAAGCGCAGCCAGCACATAAGGCTGACAACCTTACCACCATCTTTGAGCCGATTGTCTAGATAGTGTGGGACCCTCAGCATCTGACAACCCTATGGGCCTTCACAGCCTAGTACAGGGATAGCTTTACTTTTTTTACTTTTTTATGTGTGTCAATGACTACACTTTACTATCTTCTTACTTTCATATACTTCTGAACCAATAAAAATAGTATATTAGTTTGAGTACACCTTCTGGCATCATTAAAGTAAAAATTAACTGTAAGCAGAGTGATTTCTTTTGGATATGAAATTTGCTGGATCATGTCTGAACCCTGACTATACTAACAGACTTTTCTTATTTGTTCGCATCTCTCTGGTGTAGGGTGAAATATTGGAGTCATATTGCATGTAACATTTTATTTAGAGATTTGGCCATTCCACGAACTTATTGACTGTGGCAGTATATACTGTACATATGCTGTAGATAGTATAGGAATGTTATTTATTTTATATCAAATTAAACTATTTTTTATTTCAGGTTTGCAAGTGGTGTTGAATTCAATCCTCCGTGCCATGGTGCCTTTATTACACATTGCTCTCTTAGTTCTGTTTGTTATAATTATTTATGCCATAATCGGTTTGGAGTTATTCTCAGGAAAGCTACATGAAACATGTTATGATAATGTTACGGGTAAGTTATGAGTTACATGTAAAATGCTAACTCATGTAACTAGGCAGTGATTTTTGTCTATAAAGAAAGGTGTCTGTCATCAGATGTGACAAAGAGGCAGGAGCCAGTAGCTTTTTCAGACATATAAAATATAAAGATTTACAATAATGAGAAAGCAGTCTTGAAATTCATGTATGAGAGAAACCAGTATGGCAGCATCCTCACTGTAATATTCCTTGATTCTTTAACATATTTTTAATTTTCATGAAAATATTATGCTTTATTTAGAGAATCAGGAAGCTGAAACTTTAAAATAATTTCACCTTTGGGAATTATACAAAAGACAAGAATTTTTATGGCACAAATAATAGGGAGAAGGATTTTTTGGATTTTCCTTTTGAAAACAGGAATGCAAATGTTAAAAAGAATACAGAAATAACTATGTAGTATTGAAGGTGGATACCATCATTTTGGAGAAACATTTTGTTTCCAGAGTACAAGATTGCGGGGTGAGGATTCGGTTCATTTGGGACCCTCAGGATGAGGCAAGGAAATTAGCCCAGTCTGAGACCATGGCAATGATAGGCGCAAAGAGGCCCTTTACAACGCCCCTGCATGGTTTAATTGTAAGAGGGATAACTGGACATTGAGAATTGAGAATTCAGGGTCTCTATAGATGGAAATGGGAAGAAAGAAGCCAGTCATTTAATGATGAGGGCATACGTAGAGTGTGCCTCCTCAGGAGGAATGAATTATCCTGTCCTCGTACTGTGGTGCATGTATTGAATTGGTGTGGGGGAGGGGGAAACTTTCCAGTCACTCCAAACACTCAGAGCATTACTTGAACTGTTGTGACCCCAGAACTCGTTATGACCTTTCTACAAAGAGCCCTGGCTCTAGTGCTGAGGACAGAACCATCATGATTGAGGCTGTCCTCCTAGTTACTGGCTCTAGCAATGCAGAGCCAGATATCTCTAATCTCTACATACCTAAAACTGAATATTGACAAATTATATGATGATTCCTCCTTGTGCTTACATTTTCTGCATATGGTGTTTTCCAAGAGGTCTGTGATACATAGGTGGTGCCTCATTGAACAGTGACCAATCGATATCCCCAGCAGCAGCCTGCAATATTTCTGGTCTGAGGCTAATATGTTCCTGGACAATTTCTCTGAAGACCATTCAATAAATGGCTTTGATTGCTCCATGCCTGCTGCAGCCCAGTGCTCAGAGTGCTTCTTCTTCAACCATATTTTAACGTTGAATGTCCTTACACATAGAAGGACTGAAATTATTGTTTTTGGACTCAAAAGGTCATTGTAACAAGATTTCACAATGCCATCTAGTGGTACCCATGAATCAATTTCTGCAAAAAAGTAAACAGATTTAATTTACTCATGTTTTGTATGAGAAGATTTAATCTAGACAGCTAAACAAAGCAATATGTATACAGTAAGGCACAGGTGTATATTCACATGTGTCTACTCACAGGCACACATATAGGGGAATGCAAAATCTTAATTTTAAAATGTCTGAATTCCATTGCATGTATTTAGAACTGGTACGATATTAAACTATTTTCATTTATTCGTAATTTTTATTCTTGCTTTGTCCAGTCTGTCAAACAATAATTCACCAAGTTCTCTAAATAATAAAACTAAAAACAGAGTAATTTATCAAGGTATTTATTTCATGTTTCCAGGTGAGATTATGGATGACCCACATCCATGTGGAGAGGCTGGTTTCCAGTGTGACATAATTGCAAAGAACATGGTGTGTAGGAATAACTGGACAGGTCCAAATAATGGTATTACCAATTTTGATAATTTTGGACTTGCCATGTTGACTGTGTTCCAGTGTGTCACTCTAGAAGGCTGGACAGATGTTCTCTATTATGTGAGTACAGCTCAGCGAATAGTAAACTCATACATAGCAATAAATGACACAGTGTGTGTAAATTATATAAATGTAGATTTTGCTTAATTTTACAATATGTTCACTCTATGTAATGACAATGCACAAACAGGTAACTTGTGTACTTTGTGTCTGACCCCACATTTTGAAGAGTTGTGAATAAAATATGAAATATCTGAGCATAAGAGACAGCAAAGTGAAGCATAGCAGGTATCCATTCCACCATCTAGAATTTTTGGAAGAAAATAAGAAAGTTAAAAAGTCAAGTGTCTTCCATTTCATGATTTAACATGCTAAAATGCAGTACATAACCATAGCAAAGTAGTTGTAAGTGACATTGTGAAGAGTCAAGTACTTCTCAGGTGACAACATGTGTTTATTCATACAAGTGAAGTCATCTGTTCAACAGTGGGAAGACTCATACCAAAAATAAATTCTTATCTGTACTGCAACATATCACTTCATCTGAAAGAACTTTACATGTTACAGTGTGCATTATGTGGTGTGTGTGTATAATGCATTCATATATGCACATATATGCATATACTTGTGTTCATAAAAATATTTTTAACTAACTCCAAAATAAACAACAAGTAGGACTGAAATAATGACCAACTAGACTCAAAACAAAGCAAGCAAATATTAAAATTCCCTCCTCCCCAAATAAATGAATGTATTTGAGAACCAAATAGTAGCTCAACTAGTCAAGAAATGCCCTGCCTTTATGAAACCCAAAGGTTAATTACCATGTTTACATTATTTTTGGATGTGATGTGATGCTATGTGGTTTTGTGGGTAGGTACTAACATTTTGAAGGAACTTACCGCCTTCATTTCCTGTACCTTTAAATGATGGTAATTATCTTTCAGCACTTTGGTACCACATCCCAGACGACTATAATCTTGATTTTTTTTTTTAATTTTTTATTCTTAATCATGTATTTGCTTTGTTTAACTATACACTAATCTGAGGCAAAGTTTTTATGTAAACATTTAATACGTGTTGCACCAATAAGGATCCATATTGGTATTTCAATAACTATACATGTTCCTGCCTGATGATGGTCATATATGACAGAAACATGTCGCAGTAAATGAAGATCTAAATGTAATACTGAAATATTTGTTGCGTTCACAGTAGTATAGTTCCTGCATATTATATATAATGGAAAGGTGTGGATTTGATTGTGGATTTTCCATGACCTATGTGTGTTGTCCTGACAACTTGAGCTATTCTGTCTCAGGCTTGATTTTATATTTTATTGAACCAAGGACGAATGATGTGTAGTCATCATGAATTTGTAATATGCGACATGCTTTATATCCAGCCCTACGGGGAGATGATTGGATCCATGAAATGATAAATAAATGTAAATGCAATATATTGTTTGATACCTACAGCCTTGAGGATCTCAGATTTAACATTCATTACCATGTTCACAAAAGCTTACCACTGATCTCTGTTCTCAGCCATATTAATCCAGTGAACCTCGTCCCATCCAGCTTCACATATGTTTTTCCAGTCATATATACATCAATGTTATCTTCATTTACTACACAAAAGGATAAGCAGAATTAAACAGGAATTAGAAAGGTTCGGCAACATATATTTTTGGAGAATGGTAAGAATACCAAAAAGAATGTCCGGGTAAGAATAATTAAAAGATTTGTTGATATGTAACAGAAAAATATGGAAGTGAAGATAAGAGAGGGAGCAGCTTTCTTACACTGTATAAGGAACAATTAAGAGACCAATGTACATACAGATTCATGTACAGGGAATGCCAGGAGAGAAGTAGTATGGTGAAAAATAGGAGAATGGGGACTTCAGGGGGTTAGGAAGAATGATAAATGGGGGATTCTCCCATATGCAGCAAGAGGACTTCACATATTGAGATGTGAAGGAACAAAGTTTAGAAGAGACAGAATTCTGGAGAAGAGGCTTAAGAATAATGGGGAGAAATAGGTATTAGGAGGAGAGCAGTGGCAAGAAATCGGAATTATATAATTCAGTGTAAGGAGAAATAGGAGAGGATAGGGAGAAAGAATGGGAATGAATTAGAAATAAATTTATATGAGTAGTAATTATTAGGTGTGTTATTAGGATATGCATTGTGGGAACATCCCACATACTATCATGCTGCTTCGTCGATCAATGGACAGCACTCACACCTAAGTCAATAGCACATTGCTGCACATTGCTGTCAGCTCTCATATTTATACAGCACTTGCTGTCCAGCTCACTCGTAACCATCACGTGTGGTAGCCAATAAGCGCTCACAATAGCAACTACAAGTCTAAGCTCCACCCACCAAGTTTGGTATAAAAGGCGCAGCTCCTACCCAGCAATCTTCAGTGACCACATCAGCCAGCTGAGTTAGTTGTCTGGTCGCAGCACAGAAGTTGTCAGAAGTTGCCTGGTCACAGTGCAGCAGTTGCCAAAAGTTGCCTAGTCACAGAGAATGGTTGCTGGAAGACGTCAGGTTGCGGAGCATGGTCGCTGGAGTGCTGGCAGCTGCGCCAGCTGCCTGGTGTGTTGGGCATGACCGCCGGAGAGCCGAGGCAGCCGTCTCTGACGCAGTGAAGAGCCGATGACTCCGAAGACTGTCGCTCTGGACTAAGTGTGATGGCTGACTGGCTGATGTGGTCACTGAAGATTGCTGGGTTGGTGCAGCGCCTTTTATACCAAACTTGGTGGGCAGAGCTTAGACTTGTAGTTGCTATTGTGAGAGCTTATTGGCTAGTGCACGTGATGGTTACGTGTGAGATGGACAGCGAGTGCTGTATAAATATGAGAGCTGACAGCAATGTGCTATTGACTTAGGAGTGATTGTTGTCCGTTGATCGGCGAAACAGCGTGATAGTATGTGGGATGTTCCCACAGCATAATTGAAATTTTTATTATATAACAGATGAGTTCTGTGTTACAGGAATAGTAATTCAAACATAGGACCAGGGAGCCAAGCCCCAACACCCCAAATTTTGAATTGTAACAGACATAATAAAGAATTCATTCATTCATGTTACCATATTTTGCTTTCATTTCAGGTTGAAGATGCAATGGGGAACAGCTGGCAGTGGATTTACTTTATATCTATGGTTATATTAGGCGCATTTTTTGTTATGAACCTAATTCTTGGTGTCCTCAGTGGGTAAGTTGATACTTACAAAGATAGCAATTTAAAAGTTTTGAGGTTTTCTTGTAATGAATCTCTCGTATACCAGTACACATAATGTATTGTCTTCCTATGCCAGAGTGGACAACATGCATGCTTTTTTCCTTACATCATGAAAAAGACCATATATAGGATTTCCCATAATCACACTTATTAATAAATACAGAACTTGTAAAATAATCACATTACAAGATGACACAGTAATGACGATATATGTGAATGTGACAAAGGCACAGAAAACCAGCGACAATCTCTTTAGTTTGCATAAGTATTTTGTTGCTCTCCACTTTCTATGGAATGTGACTTTACTGTTATGCTGAAAATTGAGTATTTACTGAAGTTAATGTTACATACAGTCTAAATATATAAAAAAAATGTTGCTGTTTTTTGCCAGAGAGTTCTCAAAAGAGAGGGAAAAGGCAAAAGCCCGTGGTGATTTCCATAAATTGCGGGAGAAGCAACAGATTGAAGAAGATTTGAGAGGTTATTTAGACTGGATTACACAAGCTGAAGATATCGAACCTGAAGGAGAAGACAGATCTCGTAATCAGGATGGTAAACGTAGGTCATAGTTGTAAGCAGAAATAAATACTGTTTTAAACATGTACCCCTATGTTAAAAAAATTAAATCCATCAACAATTCATTGCTATAAGCCAATTTTGCAGTATTTTTTCATCGAAAATAATTTTGGAGCTTTATACTGGATTGTGCAAATCATTGCCAGTTTTACTGTTTCGAATCTCTTTGGAATGTAGAATCTGGATTCATTTTAAATGGGATACTGAGTATCTGAAATATTGCTTCACTGTGTCTTGATCTGTTGGTCTTACTGAACCAAATACACATTGTTTATATTCAGCTAGTTCTTAAGTTTTGTCATGATTGTGACTCTGGTCACTTACATATCCTGAACAGAAACTTCTGCATACTTGCACTCTTCTTTGTTTCTTAATTATTGATCAGTGCTGTTTCAGCAGTAGAGATTATGTAAGATAAAATGTGATGTAAGAAAATTCTTTTGGTCTTACATTGTATGGTGACCTTGGAGAATCACACATTCATTTAAAATATAGAGAGCACAGCCTTCTAGGAAGTGATGCTATATAGTTTGGTGGATAGGTATCAACATTTCCAAGGAACTCCAACTTCTACCATATATCCAAGAAGGCCATGATAATATCCAGTGCTGTGAGAACTTCGAAACTCATATTCAAAATATCAGTTGAAATTTGTTGTTTCTTACTGGGAGAAGGTGCATATAAAAATAGCAATAGCAGTACAGCAGTAAATATACTGATACATTTAGTGAGGTTTCACCAAATCTAATCCTGTATACTGATTGGAGGTTAATTTCTGTTCACAGCCAAAATAGCAAATGAAACAGAAACTGCAGACCGTGCAGAGGGAGAAGAGGGAGAAGTTGAGCAGGAATCTTGGTGGAGGAAAAAAAAGAAAGACTTTGACCGGTAAGGGAAGATATTCAGTCTTTTTTCTTCATGTCTACTGTCTAAAACAGTAGGATGAAATGTTATATAAAACTGTAATTCTTACCTGAAATTTCATACATGTGTGAATCTTGGCCTCTCAGACTAACGAAGAGGTCTGATTGAGGGTGTCTGAATATTGGGAGAGAAATAAAATGACAGGATGATGGAGAAAACTGCATAATGAGGAACATTATGGCCAGCATTTTTCAATAGATGTTACTGTGATAATCACATTAAGGAGGACAATGTGAAGGGGACATGTAGCATTTGTGGGAGAGATCAGAAATATGTACAGAATTTTGGTCAGGAAAATGTGAAGCTTCAATATAAGCTGGAGAACCTCTTAAGTAGTTTAGTGACTATTATCTTCTCAAGGTTGATTCTGCTCCGTGGATTTAGTTGGAATGTTGCACCTAACACTGACCCTTTATAATGTTGCAGAAATAACAGAAGAATGAGGCGTGCCTGTAGGAAAGCTGTCAAGTCACAAGCATTCTATTGGCTCATCATTATGCTTGTGTTTCTGAATACAGTGGTGCTGGCCACCGAGCACTACCGACAGCCAAAGTGGCTTGATCATTTTCAAGGTAAATACTTTATTAATTTCCAGATTCTTCAAACTTCTGCATATCCATCTATATGCATGTAAAATTCTTGTTGTAACAATACTCTGGCCACACTTGTCATCTTCTATCTTAGAATGAAATATCTATGTTTGTGTTTAAATAACTTCAGGTCTTTTGGCATCAAAGGCGTTGGAGAGGATTCAATTTTCATTCAAAGCAAGTCATTGTATTTTTAAGCAGGCATCCTGTGTTAAGAGTATTTTACATAAAGAATATTTGTTTGGCTTTCCTTAATGTTATTAATTAAAATCCATATGTGGATCTAACATTGCAAGATATAAAAACTAAGTGCAGTTTCTATACAGCAGAAAGCTTGGTTAATTTAATCATGGGTTCACCATTTTAATAATGAAATATCTGTTGTTATGTTTATAAACCAATAGACATGTTTTTGGTTTCTACTGCCTCCAGGTGTGGTCTTTATGGTCATTTTGACTTCTGAGCATCTAGGCATCAATGCAGAATTTATTCACTGAAGGGGGGCACCTATGGGAAAAAATCCAATACCCTCACTGGTAAAGTGATCATGACACTGTTATCCTTCACAACCAAATTTTAACTTTAGAAAAGGTGAAGGTTTCAATCCATGAACAGTACATTCCACACACAGACCACACCAAGGATTGACCGGAAACCATTTGAATTAGATACCTGTGTTTACTCCAGGACTAACATGTCCCTAGCAGTAGGGTTGCAAAATCCAATTTTAAGTTCTGGAAACAATTACGTCCTTGTGTAACACTTCTTAGGCATCGGGAGGCAAAGCACAGTTCCTGAATCGCGGTTATACGAACACGATTAGGTGCTAGCGCGCGCAAATTGTTTAGACCGCGGCACCAGAAAAATCCGCTCACGCGCTTTAGGCGAAGGGGGGGAGAAGCGCCTAGTGAGCTCGTAACCACGTGTAACCGTGCGTAAGGCACAGAATGTTAAAAGTCAAACCGAATTATATGTGATTGGAAGGAGGTTACGCGGTATGTTTGTCTTGGTTAAGAAATTGTGAGAATTGAACGTAAAATCGTCTTCATTTTCGTAGCCAGGATTAGAAAAATGAAGAGCAAATTCAGGGAAAGTGTGAAGCTGAGGAAACGGAAAAATCCGTTGAAGTTTAACATTCAAGTTACGGACATATGGCCGGCACCTGATAAAAAGAGTGCCAAAATTCGGCATCGTCAAATCGAAGTGTTACTGTATTACATTTGCAGAGCAAGAGAACTGATAACGTTTATTTTTATTAACATGTCAAACCAGAGATAAAAGAAAAATGTAAGGCAGTAGAGATAAATATTTCGTCTTTACAGTTTCAGGCAAGATATTTGATCATTTTGATTTATTTTTCATTGGTAAATAAGATATGGTTCCAGTCAGAACAATTTACTGTGCATTTTTCTAATAGTGCCCTTTACAACCTTCTAAAATTCCTGTTAGACGTAGTGTTTTATGTTATTCTTTCACCCTGCAGAGAGACTTCTTCAACAAAATAACTTTATGTTTACATTTACTTTTATTTTCACTTCATGGATCAAATCACCTCCCATAGAGCTGGATATAAAACATGTCACACATTACAAATTCATGATGACTACACATCGTATGTCCTTGGTCCCAATCTGGCCTCACGCAGACAGCACAAATTGTCAAGACAACACACATACAATTTTATTCTTTCTGGATTGTGTAATACCATTTTGTATTGCCTCTCTTTGCAGTGAAATTGATAAATCTAATTTTTGATGTCTGAAATTGAAATATTATATATATCTGTATCTCTAGAAAAATGAAATATATTCCTTTCTCTTTTTAGATTGGACAAACCTCTTCTTTGTTGCCCTTTTTTCCATGGAAATGTTGTTGAAGATGTATAGTTTGGGATTTCAGGTAACAGAATTATGTAGACCTAACCGTTACTGTTATAATACTTCAAGTGAAATAATGAATTATATTCTTGGTTATTCTCAACATCTGTTAGTAACTGAAATTATTAAGGGGAGAATTCTAAACAGTACCCATGCTGTAGATTTCTGGCCGCACTATGGCCCTGGGGTTGACTCAGCCTCTAACAGAAATGAGTACCAGGAATTAATTAAATAATTTTCCTGAGGAGTAAAGAGCGGCCAGCGTGTAAGGCTGACAACCTTACCGCCATCTTTGAGCCAGTTGTCAAGATAATGTGGGACCCTCAACATCTGACAACCCTATGGGCCTTCACAGCCTGTGACAGGGATAGCTTTACTTTTTTTCTTACTTACCAATGCTGTAGATTTCTTCATAAAGTCGATTTAACTTTTACAGGATCAGATCTGAGTTTCCAAAAATCTTTATCTGTTAGTTTGTAATTGTATACAAATCTTCTCTGTGTTTGAAACTAAATTCATGTGCATTTTCTGTAGTTCCATCAAATTTTATGTGCATAATATCTTGAAAACCTGAATGTATTGATTTGTATGTCTCCATACCTTGAAGTATTCATATTAATTTATGATTTATGTGGAATAATATGAAGGGAAATATGTAATTTCCTCAGGAAATACTGTCAGCAGTTTGATTTTTAAGAAGTTTATTTATCAATAGGTATGTATAGTTCTCAAACATATACATTGAAATCTCTGTAGATTCATTGTAATTGTACAACCGTAAAATATAAAAATAGTATGCAATTTGTACCTCAGGTTAAAAAAGGTACTCTTGAAGACTCTGTGATATTGATGAACCTGAAGCATACCAACTTTCAAGCAGCATACCTACTTGAAGAATTCTGTTTCTTGGGACATAACACCATGAAGTGAGAGTTGAAAGTCATTCGATGTTTCAGAAGACTATGTCGCCTCCATCTTCAGGTTGAAGTATATGGCAGCCAAGAAACTAGCATGAAGCAGTTGGGTCTGCATGGTAACTGCTTCATGCTGGTTTCTTGCTTAGCTTATTCCTTTACCCTGAAGATGGAGGTGACGTGTTCATCTGAACAGACTATACTCGTACATCAGTCTATCCAAGAAGACAGAACTCTTCATAACCACTGTTGTGAGAACCTCAAATTATACACTTAACCTTCTTGTTTTACTGCTGCACTGAAATGTCATTAAAACAGACTTTCTTGAACCTCAGAATTTTCGCAAAATTAAAACTGTTCAGCATGTGTATCGGATCTTGTAAAGTAATGCTAACATAACAGTTTCCATTTGCTGTATTTGCTCTACTCTGAAATGAGAGGTCATTTTGTAAGGGTGACTTAACATGTAAATTAATTATAGAATTTCATGTATGCAAAGAATTCTCATATACCCAGTACATATTTTGTTATGTGATAGTCCTTAAGAGTATTGACAAGTATTCTTTATTTCGTCTTGTGTACATTTTTCCATATTTATCACTAACTGAACAATCACATCTTAGTTGTAATGCTATATTTAGCTATATTTACAAAAATTCACCAGATGTGGAGTATAATGTTTAATAGAATGAAATGTTGGAATTTGAATTTTTCCTTTTGTAGTAATTTTAGAGAAATATATGTGCGTTGTTAATGAACTGAATGTTGATTTTTCTCCCTAAGGGTTATTTTGTTTCACTCTTCAACCGCTTTGACTGTTTTGTTGTGATTGGAAGTATTGGTGAAATCATTCTGACACATACGGAAGTGATGCCCCCTCTTGGTGTGTCTGTGCTCAGATGTGTTCGTCTGCTCCGCGTATTCAAAGTGACCAAGTGAGTTTATAATGTGTTTGTGAAGAAAAAATTCTCATTGTTTTCAACCAGTGTTTTGCAGTCTTACTGGAGGGCAGTATAATATAAGAAATATAAAGTAAAATCTGTAGATATATATACATCTCTCAGAAAAGAGGTAATTATACAAATTGTGACCAGTGACATGATGGGGTCAACACAACCTCTAACAGAAATGAGTACCAGAAATATTCTTGGAATGTTCTTGGGGGTAAAGGGCAGCTGGCGCGTAGGGCTGACAACCTTGCCACCATCTATGTGCCGATTGTCTAGAAAATATGGGAACCTCAACATCTCACAACTCTATGGGCCTCCACGGCCTGTTACAGGGATACCTTTACTTACTTTTACTTTACTTACATACCAGTGACATGGTTTTTGATCAGTTAGAATTTTCTCTTTTCTGATGATGCACTTTCACAGAAGAATAATTCATAGTATACCAAGTTTCTGCAGACAAACATGCCCTTCCAGTAATTTCTGTAGCAGCCTAATGCCAAACTAATAGTCAAATTTTAAATGTGATTTATTTGATAGGTACTGGCGGTCCTTGTCCAACCTGGTTGCCTCGTTACTTAATTCCATCCAGTCCATAGCATCACTGCTATTGCTGCTGTTTCTTTTCATTGTGATCTTTGCTCTACTTGGAATGCAAGTCTTTGGTGGCAAGTTTGACTTCAACAGCATTACTGATAAGCCACGCAGTAATTTTGATAGCTTCTGGCAGAGTCTGCTTACTGTGTTTCAGGTATTATAAATAATAAATGACATTTGTTACAGAGTATTACAACACATTGTTACCCAGTAGCTAATAATTTCATAATATTGTTACGTGTTGGGTATATGTCGCGTGACAAGTAACTTCACGCCTTATTTGATATAGCGAATTTATTGAACACTTGCTCTTACAGTCACACAATTTACAATTTGACAATTACTGCCATTGACAGTATCACAAATACTAACCTGCAATTTACTGGTTACTCTTTCTCTAGTAACTGGCTCAATACTCATTACTAACTGAATAGTGTTCACTGCTCCTTATTTAGCCTCGGCACGGACAACGCAGAAACAATTATGTGACAGGTTTCGCTGTTGCCTGACGCTGTGTTTACAGGTTGCTTAGCAACACTGTCGAGAGTTGTTTACTGCTCTGTAGCAACCGCGGCATCCCTTGGTAATGTCACCGCGAGAGGGGTTGGGGTGTTGACTGGCCTGTTACCGTAGCAGCGGCAACACTCCGAAGGTGTTACGTCACTGCTGGTGGGGGAGGGGGTGTCCTGCATAGCACAAATACATCACAATATTATTGTTGTTTTAGAACCGAAAGAGTTACTTGAGACTCAGAAAAGAAGCAAATTAAAACATTGACTCTCATTTTACTTTATACATCTGGTTATTTACATATTCCCCTCTTTTCTTCCCTTCTCTGAATTTGCGACATTTTTCAAAGGTTTATAAAAATTTGCAATGTTATATAGACACAGATATTTACAAACTAAAGTAAATTTGAAGAAATTCGTCTTCTGGGTTTAGGCGCCGTGTATTCTTCGTTTTGGCCGACGTTTCAGAGGAATGTATCGCCTCCATCTTCAGAGCAGTTGAATGGCTTGGAATGCGGAGAGCAGTAGCTGTAGTTGCTACTGCTACTGCTACTGCTCTCTGCATTCCAGGCCATTCAACTGCTCTGAAGATGGAGGCGATACGTTCCTCCGAAACGTCGGCCAAAACGAAGAATACACGGGACTTCCTTCATAGTCATCGCCGTGAAAACCTCAAAACTTATAAAGTAAATTTGTTGACATTCCTCATTCGACTACCGTGATAGCTACAAATGTCATGCACTCCCTTCTCCCCTCAAGCCTCTGCTATATCATGCCCCTTCTGTTTTTGCTTGTGCTCACAAATGGTTAGCTTAAGCCTGAAGGAACTCGCTAGCAATGCCTTTAATGGGCTGGCTGGAGATCAGTATATGGAGTACTTCTGAACCGTGAAAGTAGCAGGTGTTATTTTATTTTTCAAAGTACTGTCTGCACTAACACAATTAACACGGAAGCCCAGCCACTGAGCAATGCATGTTTGTTCACTCTAATGAACAACTTTATCAGCTTTCAGAATGGTCAAGTGAAGAGGTTCAGCGATAGCTAAGCATAATTATAAAACAGACTTTTAACGCATGAGTGATATAGGTATATACAGGGTGAATCTGAAATGTGCAGCGAAATATTGGGTATGAACTCCAAAACAAGGAAACAAATTTATAAAACCATAGGTCTGCAGTTGCTTTCTTTCTGAGTTACATTCTGGCAAATTTAGTGATCATTGCAATTGATATTCAAAATTTCAGAGGCTCTGATCTTTCTCATAGGGTAGAAAACCTGCACACACACACACACACACACACACACATCATACATCTACATTTGACTTTCAGTTGTATTTTTAATGTTATTATCAGCACCACTGTTTGCAGTCCAGTTTCCACAGTTGAGTGGTGTTGGTCATGCCTATTGCATGAAGAGACCGTGAGAACCGGTTCTCATGGTCTCTTTGCTTGCGGATTTCTTATATTTTTCCTTCTACCCTGAAGATGGAGGCAATACGTTCCTCCGAAACTTCTGTTAACACCACATATACATGGTGCCAAATCCCAGAATACTGCTTTCTTCATAGTCACCGCCGTGAAAGCCTCAAATCTTACATAGTGACAGAGTTTGTTACGCAAATGAACATCTGGAGACTACTACATGAACAGTTGCTTTGTCCATATGATTGACGGTGAGTCTAGGGCCTGAAGTCTGTCAATTCTCGCGCAATGAGACTTTATGTTGGTGATATGTTCAGTAATGTGCATACCCTCTGTTTCTGTTGTCAGTGCTCTTTTCAAAGGAGGGAGATATTGGTAGGGTCAGTATCACAAATTTTCACAGCCTCCAGCTGTGGGCAGAGGGCAATCCTTATGGTGTACTTCAGTCTAGACACCAGCAATAGTTCATTAATTTTTGGGGAAGTATTGTTGGTGATTGTTTGCTAGGCCAATGTGTTTTTTCACATTGTCTCATAGGCAGCTACTACTGAGATTCCTATTAAATGATTTTTTGATCTATATATGATGGTGCTTGAATATATTTCTGCCATGTTGTGTGAAATTTCCTCAACAGTACCTGTTGTAACTAATTAGTAGGATAGAGGAGGACTCAACTGCATGGCTGCCATGCTCATCTGATATATATATTCTCTGGTTTTCTATCTGTGAGGGCCTTTAAGAGCCATTCTGTATTCAGCTCCCATGCACAACCTGGAGTCCCTTCACCAGCGCGTTGTGAATGCCTGTGAGACTGTTTGCAGCAAAACGAGTATCTATGAACAGGTTTGGTAGTCCATGCTGAGACACCCCCAGTCATTAATTGCATCTCATAGAGGACATTTTGAGCACTTCTTGTAAATGCGTCCTTTCATTGCTGTAATTCAGAAAGGAAGTGTTTGTGAACCCATGTTTGTATGAAGTTGTTTTCTCATTTTGGTACATGAAGGTCATCCCAAAAGTTTGTCAACACATTTCAGATTCACGCTGTAATTTGTGCAGCAAGGCAAGGGAGTGAGCAAAAATGCTGGAAGAAGAAAATGAATGAATGAAAAACAGTGAGCACTCAAGTCACAGCCTGGCATTTCAGTACAATGACAGTTTGTTGGACAGGCATTGAAACAAGGAAAGCGAACAGACTCTTTGTTAAAAGAAATTAGTTAGGAATGAATTGATAATTAATTATTCATGTTTCCTCTTCATTCCACTGACTTGAGTAATTGAGAACTTTCTCTATATAATAAACATATTGTGACATGTTGCGCAAAGCCGAGCCCCCCCACACCAGCAGTGACGCGGCGGGTGAGTCAGCGCTCCCCTCCCACCCCTCAGCGGTAACGTAACGCTCGCGTAATAGGCGAGTAATCACCCCGCATCTGGCAGCCATGCGCGGTGACGTCACGAGCGGAGCCGAAGAGAGCCGAGCGGAGCCGAAGATAGCCGAGCCCCGTAACCGGGTAACTATGCAAGGCGAATCAACAGCGGTGACGTAACCGGACAGCGTGGCTAGTAACAAGGGTGCCTATTACGTGGCCGTTTTCCCGTATTGTCCGATCGGGGCTACATAGGGAGCAGCGAAGGCTATTCACAGTCAGTTGTACTGTGACAGCCACCGAGTTGTACTGAGTCAGTCAGTGAGTCCTGGAGCTACCGCCGAGATAGCCAGCAACTAGTCAGTGGTATTCTGGCATTTGGAGTGTACTAATTGTGATACTGCATATAGCAGTAATCGTAAATCTGTGATTTGGGTGATTGTATGAGCGAATGTGAAATAAAATTGGCTACATCGAGAATTTATTTGTCGCGATATACGCCCGATACGCGACACTGGTGTCAGAAGTGGGATCAGTAACGCAAAACACGTTACAATATTATTCACAAACCCAGTACCAAGAAAATATATTGCGACATGTCATTTGTAAGTCATGATTTTATACTGTGTTTTAAATGTTGACTTATATATATTTAAAATGCATATAATTGCAAAGTTGATCGGTTCAAAATTGCAAAATATTAATATAAGGACAATAGATTATAGTTCCTTAACTCTTTGAATCATAAAATCACTTGCATATAATATTTTAAAATGACGAGTTTCTTAATATTAAAGTGTGAGGTTCATGCAGTTACCACTGTGTTTCAAAATGCTAAGTAACATCTAAGACCAAATATACGTAAAATGCATCCTTTCAGATACTGACCGGTGAGGACTGGAATGCTGTTATGTATGTTGGTATTCAAGCATATGGTGGAGTTTCTTCCATTGGTGTTTTGGCATGCGTGTACTTCATCATCCTGTTCATCTGTGGCAACTGTATCCTTCTGTTTATATATACAGGCAATACACGAGTAATTATTTAGTTGTAACGGTACATCTTTAAGACCCTGAGAGCTATACCAGCGGTAGCGTAGCTACTGGCGGGTCCTCCCTTGCTGAACAGGTCAAAGGGTAGACATCAGACGAAGAGAGAGACCAAAAACCAAAAACTGATGCCGGAAGCAGTATCATCAGCAGCGACTTGGCACAGAGCAAATGATGCTCGAGATGGTTCAAGTTCGTATAGCAACAGGCATGACCAGAGTGGTTTGAACGGCTGTTGTATTGCGATGTGGAAAGCAAATGGAAAAACTACCACATTATCACTTTTCCTGGATAGTCTCTTTCGAAAAACAGAGGATTGCATTAAGTGGAGGAACTGTTTTGGAAGAGACTATGGACCTGTCGTCTGAAGATTACGGATGAATGAATGAATGAATGAATGATGGTACATCTTTCTTGAGACTGTGGCTTCACTATTAATTGCAGTTTAAATGTACTCAGCATGAACAGGCAAGCAGTAAAAATCATCTCAGAAGAAATTTATGGAGTATGGAAAAGTCATCTTATTTTTTCTGAGTTATTAAGCTCTTATAAATTTCAGGTATTTCCCAAGTACCAATTATAACGTTTGCACTGATATTTTATCAACAAATCCAATATACATAGTACAGTCAATAATTTCGTGTATTGGCTTGTAGTTTTACTTTTATGCAATACAGTGGGTCTGTGGAGACACAAGATGATGCCTTGTCCATTCTTCTCTCATCACAGCAAGAATCAGTTGCATGTGTGCAGTGTATTCACAAAGAACGTCACTGTTATGAAGGGTAGTTGTCTGTGAGCAGCAAAAATCGAGAATGTCGCAGTTTGAGCAATGGAAAAATATCAAGTTCTGCTAAAATTAGGCAAATCTGCTAGCAAAACGTTTCAGATGATCAAGCAAGCATACAGCGAAGAAGCCTTGGGCTGTAATGCTGTGTTTAAGTGGCACATATGCTTTGCATAAGGGAGAGGCAGTGTGGAAGATGATGAGCATACGAGTTGCCCAAGAACGGTCAAAATAGAACTCAGATCCAAGAAACTGCAACATTGGTGCGTGCGAACTGCTCCCAAATGATAGAGGAAATCGCAGCAGCAGGGATTAGCCATGGTACTTGCCACAAAATTCTGTCTCATTACCTGAACATGTCTTGTGTTACTCAGCACAGTGTTCCATGCGTCCTCATGCAAGACCAGCGTGACGATCTCATGAGCAATTGTGGTGACCTGATTGATAGTGCTGACAAAGCTAGGACATTCCTCAGCCTGATCGTAACATGAGACGAAACATGGTGTTTTCTATATGATCTGCAGCTGAAGTGACAATCAGCCACCTGGAAATTGCCATCATCAGCACGAAAGAAGAAACCACAACAGGACAGATCAGAAAGCAAGGTAATGGTGAACTGTTTTTCGACTCATCAGGAATTTTTCACGTGGAATTCATCCCAGAAGGAACAACTGTAAACAAGCGCCACTAAAAACAGATCATTTGCTTTCTACACAATTCAGTTCATCGTAAGCATCCTGAGCTTTGGCGCAGGAAGAACTGGCTGTTGTTATACAGCAATGCCCCTGCACTCACTATTTGCTTGTCCAGGAGCAGCTGGCAAAACGACCGTTTTGCCATACCCTCCATACTCGCCTGATCTGGTACCATGCAGTTTCTTTTCTTTCCCCACTCGAAAGAAACACTATATGGGCTTCGATTTCAGTCTGCTGAGGAGATCGTCACTGCCACAAGGGAAGTCATACAGGACCTTCCTGCATATGTATTTCAGCAGTTTCCAGCAGCTGTACCAATGTTGACAGACTTACATAGTGGCCAACCATGGTAAATGTATGTGAATATCTTGTAATATGGTGCCACAAAACCACATTCCATGAAATTATTGACTGTAGTAGTATTCTTAGAGTTTAAATGTTGCCTTTTTCAGTTATCTCCATTTTGATTAAATTATACTTCATCATCTTTAAATCTTTTTACCTTAACTGAAGTCCAGATATCTTGTTAAATGTTTTCTTGGCTATTGCTGTGGACAATCTGGCTGATGCAGAATCGTTGACAGCCATTGAGAAAGAAGCAGAAGAGGAGGTAAGAATGCTATTATTTGTATCAGACATTTTTCGTTTTATATAGGCAGTTGTTAAGTACTGAATACAAATACCAGGTCTTCATATTAAGTGTAGAAATTTTTGTATAAGTTGAGGTTCTCATGAAAAAGGATCCCTTTAACATTATAAGTTAGAAGCTCATAGTAAATATAATGTAACATGAGGGCTGACAGCTAGAATAAGCGACCAGAGAAACATCCATTGCTAGTCAACAGCCTTGTAAACATGCAACAATACCAGAGCTATCGCTAAGCAATATGCACATGCAACAATAGTGGAAGTGTTGGAAGCAGTGTTTTCTATGCAGTCCACATGAAGGCTATGTAAGGAGTCAATTGTCCAAGTCATGATATATGGTTACAAGTGCTGTGGGACACAGAACCAAGAATCGCCATGCTGGCAAGGGCCAACAGCAATTTACTGGAATGAACTGGTTAATCATTCAGTGGCAGGCCACTTCCAACTAGAAGGGGAGTGACCACTAGTGGTCAGACCTCTCCTCTTGTTGGATGCCCATCTTGAAGGACAGAAAGGTCTGCGTAGAACAAAAAGATGGTCCTAGGTCCCGAAGGGGCTCAAAAGCAAGAACAACTGCCCTGGCGAAGGCCAGCAGCAGTTTGCTTGATTTCGATTTAGTTCGACAATTAGAACGCCAGTCATGAAATGACAGTGAAGTTGGAGATTGGCAGCTGGTGATCAGTCCAAGCCAGAAGCTAGCTGCTGAAGGATGTACTGGCTGAAACCAGCAGTCAGGATATAAGGTTGGCGTGAGCTGGTGTCCATCCTGCAAGGACATGAGCCCAGGAGCAGAGGAATATCCACCATTGGCGGCTGTTACTAAGCAACATGACAAAACACTTGTCTGTGTTATAGTGAGCTCTGAAGTGTAGTCATGGGCTGTGAAAGTGTCCAATAAATCCAGTTATCAATAAAATCCCGTCTATTGTCACTCTAACATCTGCCAGTTGTTCTAGTAATGTCTTTTTCTCCATCGTGAAGAAAATATTTGTCTCATGGAGTTTATCTTGTTCTGAAACAGTAATTTGCAGTTTGTTCTCCGCTGACCACAGGCACACTGTCTTGCACTTGTCACTGTCAGCTTGTCACACTGTGTAATCACACAAAACCTTTCAGCGCTTCTAAGGGCAGACTTATCTAAATATGTTGATTCCACCCACTTACATCCCCATGTCTTGTATGAATGTCTTGCAGGATCTCGGCCAACTTCAGTCTATCACCTCCAGAATATTCCATTAGGTGGGAGGCTGCTGTATTGCATGAAAGAGCCATGCACAGTGCTTCCACTCCCTCACTCACATGACACTGCTGCTGTCTCGAGGTTGTTTGTCATGAGTAGTCCCTAGATACTGCATCAGTCTTTCAAGGTGGACCACTATCATCTCTGCCCTATCATGACGCTGGATCCTCTAGACTGCATCACAGATCCAGGGGACCACCTTGCAAGCGCCCCCCCCCCAGGATGGCTGCAGCTTTGACTACTTCCATCTACTCTGTATCAGGCAGTACAGCCATGCCTGGTCTCCTTTCCAAAATCATGTGGAGTTGGCTAGTTGGTTTCAACCAGCTTTCATTGTGTCACTGGATACTTTCAGATGTTGACCAAAGAACATGTCCCTAGGTAGATGTACCTCAATGCCAAACAAAATAATGGGAGTCTTCTCTGTCCCATAGTCAGCTGCATTAACGCCTACTTCAAAACAGGGATAGCCTCCCTGAACGCTATGTGTAGAATGTACTGCTGACTCTGCATCCTCTCTGGTAGTTCTGTGATGATGTTAGGTCTGGCAATGGTCATAGATGCTGCAGTATCAGTGGTCACATGGCATAGCATGTCCCTTGTCCAGCTTTTGTTGCTTAGGTTTTCATTGCTCCTGATGACTAATGTTGGCTGAATTCAGTAATTCTATCTACGTTTATCTCCCAGTAGTGTTTTCTTGAAACCATTTATAGGATCTTTGCCAGCCTAGATCTCTTCTGTATCCAGATCATTCCAGAATGGAGGAAGGTGACAGTGTTGCCCGAAAGTGCTACACAGAGCCCTTCTATTCCCCCTCTCCCTTGCTCAAGCAGCAGTACTCTGCTAAATGCTTTTGGTAGGCCACAGTGCAATTTTTATGCAGTGTTTTACAATTTCACACTCATTTACTGAGAGTTTAGAATCTTTGTTCTGGAAAGTTGTGTTATGTATCTGACATGTGTTTTTAGGCAGAGAAACAACAAAAGTCTCACAGCGGTTCACCAACACGGGACGAAGGACAAGGCGGCGAGGAAAATGGTGAAGGGCAAGAGGAAGGACAAGATGATGCTGAAAAGTAAGTATCATGATTCCACCCTAAACATGTAATTAAGGGCCAAAGAGAAGCCTGGGTTGACATGTTTTGTATCTTACATGTACTTTGAATCTATGGAACGTTAAATAAACTGAAATTGAAATTGAAACATACCACCCAGTGATGGACTTAAATTTCTGCTGTTCAGTGAGTTTAATAATATTGCATGAAATTGACATTCTGTTATGTTGGAATACATGCCAAAAAGACATGAACAGACAACTTATTTATGTTCTATCCATCTTCACAATTTGCCTTGGGACACTGCATTTTGTTGCTGCTTCACAGTTTTTGTTTGTTCTGCATGTTTTATCAGTATAAACTTAAATTACCTATAATTACTGTGGTGCCTGGTTCTTTCTGTACTTGATTCCCTTTTCCACTAATAACTTTTTTCTTGAAATGATCTGTCACTTTCATGGTGAGTGAGACTTTTGTCAGCACAAAATTTTCTTATATAAATCAGTGAATTACCACTGTTGTGTCCTAACTTTGATGGTACTTCAGGCAACCTTGTAACAACCCATGGCACCTGTCCTTGAAATATATTTCTGTCTGTTTTTCTACTCTCACAGCATCAAATAGTTTGAAATTTGACTTCTACCTGTTAAAGGAAGGAGAAAAAGAGGGAAAACTCATCTTCCAGTATGTCATTCACAATACCAAATTTATTTTTCTCAATTTGATGTAAATGAATTCGAGACTTGCACATGCCTGTTAATTATTGATTATACTTGCTTGAGAAAAGGCGCATCCACATTACTCGTGCTCATCAGGCTTGTGTTCATCGGGAGACTCGTCTGGCTTTTACTTGTGCTCGTAAATCTTTGCCCACACTACTTCAGTTGCTCGCCAGGCTTCGGCGCGTGAGGATCCGTATATTTACTCGTAGTATGTATAGGCTGTAGTCGTATTTTAATTTATTGGCTATAGTTTTTAAATTAAAAGTTAAAAATCTGCTTGTCTTGTGACTTATCATATCATCCACATTACTCGCGAGCATAGCGAGTCACACAAGCATGAGTAATTTAAAAACATTCGCACAAATAGTAACTATTAATGCATATAACCTTTACTAATGCTTCATTCTGTGTCATGGGCTCCATCTGATATGATTGCATTTATCTTACAGTATGGAGAAAGAAGAGGCTGGAAGTGACACAAAAGTTCCACTGGAACATGGTGACAGTGAAGATTATCCATATGATGATGAGGAACAGACAGACAATCAGGGTAGGAAACGAAACAGCAAATTATTTTACATGTTGCACCTTAATTCATCTGTATCACTTCTTGTAGCCTGCTGAAGGAAACCATCCTAAGAAAAATTAATGTAATTTCTATAAATTTCCCTCATCTATGAATTGTAAAGAATAATTCTGCTGGTCCCTAGATCTCATTTTCTAAGCAGTATAGTATCACAGTATTACTTGTGGCAGCAGGAACTATTTAATCTTTAACATCCAAAATGCCCTGATCGGGCCAGTGATGAGCATGGTTGTCATGACTAAAGTACCCTGTTTTGGCCAGTCAGGCATTTAAACTCTGCTAGTAGAAGCGCATGGACAGACCTAAATATTTATTTTTAAAAGTAGTAATTACCAGACAGACTTTAGTAAAACCATAATATAGGAATTAAAATGATGCTGTATCTTCACTAGCCATTCCCTGGCAGTGGCTTTTAGTGGCGATTCTACAGCTTCACGCTCTCAGGTCCTCTTGTCACAGCCACCTGCACAGAACTCTGTGTCAGCTGTCTACTCAGCTGTAGCATCATCTCTCCCCAGCCTCCCTTGCAGAGCTCAGTTTGCCCCGATTTTATTCTTTATAACCACTCTGCACAGACCACATTGAAAACACCATTTTTCTATTGTGGGTATGTTCAATTCCACAGGAACTTGTTTACCAAGCCGTTGCTTAATAATGGCCATTTGTTTATTCACCTATTGCATAGCAATGGCTGTATTTGTTTGTTTCAAGCTTGCTGCCCAGCAACGGATCTATACACCACATTATAAAAAGGGAAACCGGTAAACAGCGTACTGTTGAACATATACAGTTGCAACTCTGTATGATCAACAAGCCATTTCTGAAGCCTTCAATAACCACTTCTCTTCTAGAGTTGATAAAAATGCTTTAATAAGACTATGACTAATGAAGAAACTTTTGCTACTCCTAATTATTATGTATTACAAAAATTTTTAAACCCTTTTCCATCTATGGTTTTTAAATCTTTCTCATCCAAAGGAAATACAAATATAATTAAACCTTTAAAATCTAAAAATAGTCATTGGTATGATGAAATTCGTACTGAACTATTAAAAATTAGCACTTCATATATACATATGTTCTTCATTAGCTCATATATGCAATAAATCCATCACGTCAGGAATTTTTCCAGATTCTCTATTGTAAAACTTTTATACAAGAAAGGAGATAAAATTAATGCAGCTAATTATAGACATACATAACTTTTAACTTCCTTTTCTAAGGTTCTTGGAAAGGCCATGTACATAAGATTAATTGAACATCTTAATATTAATAAGTTATTTGTTAAGCAGAAATTTGGATTTAGGAAATATTTAGCAAGAGAAGATACTATTTACAAGACAACATACAAAATTTTAAATGCCTTAAATAACAAAACTATGGCTGGTCATATATTTCTTGCTTTGGAGAGAACTTTTGACTCTGTTAATCATGAAATATTATTGATAAAGTTATCACAGTATAGAATAACTGGTAAGGCAAAATCATAATTTGAATGGAACCACAATATGAACTGATGAAGTCTGCTAAACGATTTAAACTGATGCACTCTTAATGTTGAACTTAAATCATGTTTGTCTTGATGCAATTCAGGTCAGTTTAAAGTTCCACCTTACATATTTTCATGTTCTATAAATATTGTGCCCTCATAGATGATTATAATTATTTTTGAAGGGGGGGGGGTTATGAGCCCAAATACTGATAGTAGACACTTCAGATGTAGGAAAACGCTTAGTATCCAACTGCCACAACCATCTTGAACCTCGTACAGCCATTTTAAAGCACATTTTCATGTCTACTAAGTCACAGTTTTTGTATAATGGTCTTGACCATAGTATAGCAAAATAAATTATGTTAAAGATATTTTTAGACACCTTGATACTAAAATTGAGAATTCAATAATTTTGTTACTTTTGTTTCCTGTTGCTCTTGCCATAGAGGCTTTTAATGTTGAAGAAGTATATTTTGATAGAATCACGCAGATCGACACATCTAATAGCCAGTATACGTGATACAATATACATGAGTTTGGAAGAGAGAAAGTATAAAAAATCTCTTCAAACCAATAGAAGACAAGATTCTGCATATGTTGTAAAAGAAAATTATTTTTACCCATGGCACTTGGGTCACAGAATGGAAACTCTTTGAGTTACACTTTTTTAAGTATCATAGATGTAAGACTGTATAAGAAATATATTTCTCTTTGGCTAAATATATCAATATTTCACTGCATGGGTAGTGTAAACACCTTCATCTGTTAAAAAATGTTAACAGCGCATACTTCTTTCACGTCCCGTATTACAGACAGCACAAGAAGTGTATTTGATAGCTTGGACTATGTTTTTTTTTTTTTTTCCAAGCTCTGTGGATTGCATTAAAATTTACAGATGAAGATGATGACGGTATTGAAGTGAAACGTAGGATGTCAGCACGGCCTCACCGAATGTCAGAGATCAGTTTGAAAACAACAATACGCCCAATTCCACAAGGAAGTGCCTTCTTTATATTTTCCAGTACCAACAGGTAAGGCAGATACCTCATCCTGGGCTTGACAGCATTGGCTTGGTCACTCACCTTACCAACTTGCCTTGATAAATCCATACCTCTATGCTTGATATGACCATTATTTTGTTCTCTTCTTTGATTTTATATATTTAGTTCTTATTTCATGAGCCTAAACTGTGTGCAGGTAACCAGGCAATACGTGTTATATGTCATATGAATAAAAGCACAAGATATGAACTTTCTTATGCTGTGATTCTGGGAAACAGTGCAAACAGTTCAAATATTTATTATGGAACAACGAACAGTGATTAAATGGAAATTATGCCACAGGTATGAAAAAGTACCTGAAAGAAATTATTTGGTATTCTATTGACATTCAAAATGTATTCAATTTACGGTTCTACACACATCAAAATGGTATTCTGTTTCTATAGAGATATCTTATATCATATTGTGATGATCTCTTCGTCAGTATTTCTTATTGTTCCGTTCAAAATGTCCAATGTTTTTTTGCATTTATTAAATAAAACTTCATTCTTGATATATGTTCACACAGAAGAGTCAAGGAGAATTAGATCAAGTGAATGTAAAGAACAGAAATTGACCCTCCACTGATCCAGTGATCGGCAACTGTTTGTTCCAGGATGTGGCGAACCATCCTGTTGGAACATGACATCCAGTTTATGTTATATTAGCTGGAACTTCAATCAGAATTCAGACAAGTCATGGTAAACAGTAGCACTGTGTGTTTTAAAATGGAGAGGTTTTGAAATGTTTTAATTCTTTTCCAGACATTCAGAGAAACAAGAGAATTGATATGTCTGGTCTCAAATGAAGAATATTAGGGAAATTCCAAAAAAATACATAATTATTTATACACGATTTCATATCAACAGTTTATCTTATAAATCATATATACTGGCATATAAGATGACACTTCAGAAGCTTAAAAGAAGCCTAGGCTCATCTTATATATGAAGCATAAAATGTAAACTTTAAACCATTAAATGGCCACCTGATATTTAACAACTACTGCTCTTCCCCTCCACCATAAGTGAAGGGTTCAATGCAAAAATGTGGTGGCGCCAGTTCTGGCAAAAATTTAGTTCTTGCGCCGTTCAATATAGTATATAAAAATTATCTAGTGTACTGATGGAAGAGCAGTGTGGTTGAAGTGATTAGTTACACCATTAGTAAAAATGGAGTCATATTATGGTGTGGTTTTTAAGTGAATATTTAAATATGTTTTCAGCTGTGTTCAGGAGGTTTATTAAAGTGTAGCCCCACCCTTTTTATATTGAACCTCTCAGTTATTTCTAACTAAATCTCATGTTTGATGTACATAACCAATATATAGGTTATTATTAAATAACATGTGATGGGTAGCATGACCACAGTTGCCATAACTGGATGAACTGAAGGCCACAACATTGAAACAGCTGATGTTTCACAAAGAAACAGTGGAGCCAGGCAGCAGTTGGAATAATTCCAGTGTGGGTGTTGATGGGCTGAATGATGTTCTGTGATTGTTCGTAGCAAGCCTCAGTCTCTGTCTGTTGCTCTTGCATACTAGATTATAAGCTCTGAATGCTAAAACATTACTGTAATACCCAGGTGTCATCATGGCTCAAACTGCTGTGACAAGGAAATATGAAGCCTGTTTCAAGTTAAAAATAGTTAAGAGGACTTCTGTCTTCTTCAATATGATGCCTTATAGTAACATTTAATAACATTTAACTTGTATTAAAGTAAGGTGAGTTCATAATTGCTCCTGGTAACTGCAAGCTCAGTAATGGAGAAGTAATTTATCTCCTTAGGCTCGGGCCACATGAGTGCACAAAGTACATCCGTTGCAACGAACGTACTTTATGACGGACGTTGCTGAGGACACCACACAGTTGCAGAATGTGGTGAACAGTTTTTTGTCTGCAATGGAGCCAGAAGAAAGTGTAGCATTTGCCTCTCTTGTTTATTTTTACAACGGACGTCGTGACATTCGTTACGATGGATGCATTTTGTGCGCTCGTGTGGCCCCAGCCCTAGTGTCGCATGAAGATGATGATGTGAAGAGCCAAAATGTAAACAGTCCAGGAGAAATAAAGCGAAAGAATAGACCATTCAAGCCAGAAATGTTGCTTAAATGCACTTGGATTAATTGCTGTTTCCTGAATCTCAGGTATCTGTATATTTCTAGAACAAGTCAGTTTTATTTCTTTTCATTTCTCTGCATATAATTTATTTATATTAAATATATTAAATTTCTTTAGTCTTGCCAATTATGAAATTAAAATATGGTCATTCAGGTTTCTTTCCTAGCTACTGTATGGTCCCTCCATTGTACCAAACCTATGCAGTCAAGCCCACACATGTTTGTGCCCGTCTCATGTTATTGTGGTATCTGTCTGTCCCAATAGACATGGATGAGTTGGATGATGGTATCACAGCTCGACCCAGACGGCTGTCAGAATTCAACATTGCCACCAAGACACAACCCATTCCTCCAGCATCTTCTTTCTTCATTTTCTCTAAATCAAACAGGTGACATGTAGCAAGCAACGTAGCCTCGTTCCCGCACTCGCTATCAGCTTCCAGTCAAACTTTTGCTTTGTTGCAGTTGTGTGTGTTGTATTTATGTGTGTTTATTTGTGATTGATGCTAGTATTTAGTTCATTTTCAGAGCTTTAATCTAACAGTCAGTTCATTGATAATTATTCATCTCGGTTTAGTATAAAATGGTCAAGAATGACTTCATGAAAGAGTGCAGATCTGTAGACACTCAGAAGGCATGCAGTCTGAAGGTGGAAGTCTACAGCAGAAAGGTGTTATGACTGTTTATCGTGTATCTTATTCCTGAATATGCCAGATATGGTTTAAATTTTGTGTAGAAGTGCATTATTCACTCCCCCCTTTTCATTAATGCATTTATACTTTATGTCTGCCAGGAATATTCATGTTAATACAAAATTAACTATTCTCTTAATATGGAAAATTACTTTATATTTCATTAGAGCACAAGAAAATTTAAATGTATTTGGTTAAAGTAACAATTCAGTGGAGCAGAATTTTCAAACATAACTGTTCACTACAAATTGTTTGCAAAATGCCATTTGACCTTTTTCATGCCAGAATTCCTTTGAAATGGACTTGTTCAAATTATATTAAGTTTAAATTTATTTAAACAATAAGTTTTGTATGTTTTAAGCCAATATGTTCTTTAAAATTTGGTTACACATTCTGTTTTTGCAGAAACTGAATTTTTAGTTTAATATGTATATTTTTCAAATACAGCCTAGTCTTTGTGAATGTCTTATATATTAAGAATCTCTTTTATGTGTAGTTTTGTATGATGTGTGCCGTGTTTCTTTTCCTAGGGAATGGTAGTCAATAGATGCATTCTTCCTCAATTGAAAATATGTCATGCATTAGATTAGTCATTTTGTGTCATAACGCTAACGGCCATCTCTGTATAAAACACAGTCCATTTTTCATTTTTAGTTTGTTGCCATACTAGTGTAGTTAAGTAGCAACTTTATTTCTAGCAAAAGAATGAGAGATATATGTGTATATTTACATAGTGTATTAATGTACAAACAGGCAATAAGGCTTCTGTAATGTATATGATGAAAGTATAAATAGGACTATGGCATTTTGTTCTGTGCTTGTATCAAAACTCGGCTCACTCACATGCTTGAATTCTGTACAAGATGCCATGCACGCTTACGTTCTCTGCACTCGAGTGTTCTTTAGATGTTTTATTAGTGAAAGTTGAATATGTAGTTAATTTTTTATGGAAAAATTTTCTAACATAAAATAATGTTTTGAAATGCTTGCAATGTCTCATATAATTTATAAATATCCGTATTAGGAATTCTGAAATTGCTATAAAGTTGCTTACATTTATTGTTGCGTATGCATCCACTCACTTATCCTTCCACCTGTCCATGTGCTCCTGTTTCTCGGTTCTATTGAAACTGTCATATCATGGTCATACCTTTATATTGAGACTATGTATTTTGTCTAGCAAAAAGAAAAACAAGTGAACATCAACAATTTATTCTGTCAGAGTGCAGGTACAAACCTATTATAGTATAACTATCCATACTACATAGAATCAAAAACTATTTGTCCTTGTATTTAATTAAATATCTACCAAATTAACTGTATGAGTCAGGGACCTTATGGGAAACTGATGGTGGCTAAGTAAGCATTTTATGGAACCAGAAGATCCATTGTATCGTTACCAGGAGACCACCATTGATCCCTATCCTGAGCCAAATGAATCCACCATCTTTAATATCCATTTTACATTGTTTTCCACCTATTTCTATTTCTTCCAAATGGTCTCTTTCTACCAAAATTGTTATGCATTTCTCTCATCTTCCATGTGTGCTGCATGTATCTCCCATCTCATCCTCATTTATTTCAGCATCCTAATAATATTTGCCAAGGAGTATAAATTATGGAGCTCAACATTAGACAGTTTTCTTCATGCTACACATATATTCTCTCTCTTAAAAATGAAGTTGTCCATTTGCTTAACTAACTAAGCACTAAGATCTACGTATTCTTGACATCGACACTAGTTGGAGGTGAGTGGTCAGCTTCAAGCCATAGCCCCTTTACCCCAAGGGAAGAGTCTGCAGTAGCAGTTGGGTAGTAGGTTAGGTGGGTGCCGAAACCGGTCTGGATGATGTGAAGACCATCCTTCCTCTACCAGAACTTGAACTTTGACCCCATGGCCATCTGGGCCATAGCCAGTTGCTATACTGACTTTGCTATCCCGGCACATTAACTCCTCCCTCTTAGGTTCAAATATTTTCCTTAGCACCCAGTTCTCCAGTCCCTGAAACTATATTCCCTCAATATGAGGGGCCAGGATTCACACCCATAAATATTTACCACACTGAATAATTTTTAAAATAAACCATAGATGTTGATGGATTGTATATGTTTTGTCATACATAAATTCTTTGTTCAGTAAGCTGGTTTTGTGAAAGTTAAGTTTAACATTAATGTAAAACTGGCTGATACATGCCAGAATGAAATTTAGTTTCAGAGACACAACATGAGAACAGACAGAAGCAACATTCCTTTGTGCATTCAATTTATGCACTTTGTATAAGTGCTATAGAGAAACCATAAAAATACAAAAGCAATTTGTTAAACAGTTTTATTGAATTCTATCATGTGGCCAGACTGAATGCAAAATAACCTCATCTCAGAACTTCAGCAGCACTAATAATTCGTTATACACCTGATAAATAATCTGTGTTCTAACAGAAATTTTAGAATCTGATGCTGAGGAAAATATTTATACCAACAGGAAGATGGTGAAAGCTGCATGATGCAGGTGTTCATAAGATGTGTCCTTCGCCAAATATAATTAGGGTGATAAAATCAAGGAGGATGAGATGGACAGGACATCTGGTACACAAGGAGAGATGAGGATCTCATAACAAAATGTCTGTCACAAAGCCTGAAGAGCAGAGACTGCTGTTGTGGCCTAAGCATAGATTTGAAGTTAATATTAAAATAATTCCTAAAGAGATAAGATAGGACAAAGTTGATTGAATTCTTCTGACTGAAGAGTGTGGCCACTATTAGAATGCAGCTGTCAACACAACAAATTCGTAATAAATAACCCATGTTACTGTATTATCACTCATTTTCTACGTGTTTCAATCCAGCTGGATCATCGTTAGGCAAATTTTCATGAAATATGCTACTCGTTGTTGAATTGTATTTGTATTTGTTACTAATCTGGATCCATATTGGTAATCATTAATAGGAATTTCATTACAGTACTTGTGTTTGTAATGTTTTGGATATCTCTCTTAAAAAGTTCACCTACTCTAGAATACAGCATCGTAGACATGTACTCCATGCTAAACAATGGAAAACAGAATTGTGATTTTTAATTTTTTATCTTTTAACGTTCAACCCTGTCATAACATTTTACATTTTAAGACTAATAACCAAAATATAACAAAACACAGTACTGTAATGAAATTCACATTAACGTTTTTATATAGTGAATTGATAGTTTAAAATATTGCATTGAATCGTTTTCTATCGAAGAACTTATCACAGCATTATGTATGCTTTATGAATAAATCCTTCATTTTGGCTTACATTTATTTGAAATTGTGTGAATAAATTGTTTTAATGAACTCTCTTATGATTGCAGTATTTGACCTAATTTTACAGTGATCATGATATTTATAGGTGATGTACTATTACCAGTATTTCAAGAGCCATTTAGTATGTTTTGCAGATAAGTTTTACATTTGTGGATCGTTGTTTGCCCAAACCATACCATGCCTATTGTCTCATTTTTACACTTCATGTCTTCTTAGTGGACTGTTTCTTTCTTTTCATATTCTGTGATGCACCAGGATCCGCGTGTTCTGCCATTGGTTGTGCAACCACAGTTACTTTGGCAATGTAATCCTTGCCTGCATCATGATCTCATCAGCCATGCTGGCTGCTGAAGACCCCCTGCAATCTGATACTCCCCGAAATGAGGTGAGTAGCCTTGTAGCAATTCTATTTAGGATTGTTTTATGTGTTTTTCCATTTCCCTGCATAAAAATGGTGTTTATTTCAAGCTCTTGGTTTATTTTTCCTTTTTGGGTTTATTTAATTTTCCTGTCAATATAAGCACAGCCATACATTGGTATATACTTCCATAAGAGGGGGTAATTTTTCATATTTAGAAAGTTTATAATAATGTATCTAATAATATTGAAACTGTCTAGGAATTCACTGATATATAGGGTTTCTGGACTTTATCCATCGTCCTAGTTTTTAAGATAACAAAAACACGACGTTTCGGAAACTGGATCTGTTTCCGTCCTCAGGTGAAGGAAAAGGGGGAACACCTATTCTGTTGGTTCCGTTAGAAAGAGCTAGCCTCAATCACTGGACTGGTCTAACGGACCCAACAGAATAGGTGTTCCCCCTTTTCCTTCACCTGAGGACGGAAACAGATCCAGTTTCCGAAACGTCGTGTTTTTGTTATCTTAAAAACTAGGACGATGGATAAAGTCCAGAAACCCAATATATCAGTGTGTTATACACCATCGTCAGAATCCTATAGTAACTACTTGTCTAGGAATTCGCTTCATACTTTTGTAGAGTTCATTAATGCTTGTAGTGTCATATACAGGGTGATTCAGAGCTCTAGTACGATATTTAATGATGCTGAGGGGATCAATTGGAGCTGAAAAGGTAAGTAACTTTTTGTTAAGATTTGCCCCTATTTCAGAGTTAAGTATATTTACAGTGATGTCATTGTGTATTACTGTCATCATTTGACTTGGGCTCTGCACTGAGAGATCATTGAAGTAGATAATGAAGAACATTTATCATACTTGGACAGTAGTGTCGGTAACAAGAAGAATGGCAACAACAAAAAATCTAGATTTTCTGATCCGAAATTTGCGGGTATGCACATTTTGTGTACGGATTTTGTGATGGAACTTCTATCATTGCATTGAAGGAATAGCAGCATTGATATCTGGATAGAAGACAACCTTACAAATGTTTGAAATGGTGCATCATAGGCACTCTCATGTAGCATGCTCATATTGGGTGTTGAAGACATGTGAGACATGGAGGATATGTCAGATATAGCACAATTCTTCTAAAGCATGACTTTCTCAGAGTGCAGTATGGCATAATCTGCTTAATAATCAGTTGTATCCATGGAGGAAGAAGTTTGTTTGGTAGAAGTTGGATATTGCAGTGATGTAATTACTCACATTGATGTAGCTGATGCAAACATTAGGAATCTACCTAGACAGCTAATTATCATCCTTGGTTCAATGTTGCATTGCTGTCAGGTGTGGAGAGGAAGAGGGAGAACACTTCAAACATCCATTGTGTGAAGTACATTCACTGTACTGAGAAATCTGCACCACATGATCAGAATGTGCTAGAAAAGAAAACATGGGTAGAAAGGGCAGAATTTGATTTCCTTCTTTCATTAATTGTAAACAAGGATGTCAATTGACATATTCTGTTAAAAGGAATCATTTGCATTTTGTAATATAAGTGTCACAACTCCTTAATGATAGTGAATCTGGAGGGGGGGGGGAAGAAAAAAAAGAAGGAAAACAAACTTTAATTTACCTTCTCAGCCTCAATTTATTTCCCCCAAAACCTCCTGATGTATTGTTCTAGAGCTCCAAATCACCCAGTACAAATTATAAACTATGAAATCAGGTTTTACAAAGTTCAGTTTCTTTTATATAAGAAAGTATTTATAAGTCATTGCTTGGATTTTTATAACATGAAAAACACTAAAAACATAAATTTTCAGATCCTGGGAAAATTTGATATCTTCTTCACGTCAGTATTCACAGTGGAAATCTGTCTCAAGATGATTTCATATGGTTTTGTTCTTCATAATGGTGCTTTTTGCCGTTCAGCTTTCAATCTCCTCGACTTGCTTGTGGTGTTTGTCTCCCTTATCGCCATGTTTATACGGTATGTAGATGGTTAAATCTTTCATTGTATAATGTTCATTGCCACATAAGTTGAAATTAAAAAGTGAAAGGTTTCTGTTTACAGGATTTAACCTATAAGGGGCAGTCAAATGAAAACGAGTCACCACGCATAATTGACACGGCGTGTAAGTTGGTAACACTGGAATTTGCTTATGGTACCAACATCTGGTGGGGACTCGGGAAAGCACAGTGACAATGGGCCTTTGCACACTAGTCGTTTGTTTATTGTGCTGGAAGTAAGGTTAGCACTACATGCGTTCATCCAACATCAGTAATGGAGGCGGGTAAAGAAGAACAGTGAAGTGTAGTGCGCTTTTTAACTGCTCAAGGAGTAGGAGGACAAATTCATCATCGCATATCTGTTGTTTGATGCGAACACAGCATGTCATGTTCGCATGTGCTGGCATGGCATAAGAGATTCTGAGAAGGACATGTGTCACTGCAAGATGATGCTCGCCCAGGACAGGCTCATTGTGTCATTACTCCTAATGTTATTGCTGCATTGGATGGTCATATCCGGGCAAACCGACAGATTACTGTGGAAGAAATTAGTCTTTTGATTGGAATAAGGCATGGTTCCATACACACCACTGTGACAAAACACTTGCTGTACTGCAAAATCTGCGCGCAGCGGGTTCCACATTAACTCTTGGAGGAACAGAAGACTCAGAGAATGGCTGCATCACTGGGTCACTTGCAACGATACCATGAGGGAGAGTATGCTTATCTGTCCTATCCTGTATTATCACTGGGGATGAAACTTGGTGCCACAATTTTGAACCTGAGAGCAAACAGCAGAGCCAACAGTGGAAACCTGTGAATTCTCCCCCATCGAAGAAATCCAAGTGATTATGACATTCTTCTTCGACTGCAAGGGGCCTCTGCTTGTCGAATTTCTCGAGCATGGGGCCACATTCAGTGCACAGCGCTATGAACACACTTTGCAGAAACTGAGACATGCCATAAAGTCAAAACGCCCTGGAATGCTATCGAACGGCGTTATCCTTCTTCATGATAATGCGCGCCCCCACACCGCCAACTCTGTGAGGAATACGCTACAGAGATTTGGTTGGGAAGTGCTTCAACATCCCCCCACAGCCCAGATCTCTCCCCATGTGATTTGGAGACCTGAAGAGAGACATTCGTGGACATCAGTTTGCATCGGACGAAGACATGTGTGGCTGGGTAAAGATGTGGTTCTGTAGACAGCCCACAAGCTTTCTCAAGGATAGGATTGACCGTCTTATCTCCCAGTGGGATAAATGTATTAACAGTTTTGGAGATTACTTTTGAGGTAAGAAATGTTCTTTAATATGTTTTGGCTTCTGACCTGTTTTCGTTTGACTACCCCTCATACTATAAGAGGTTATCTTGGTTAATGAGTGAATATAAGTGTCATATTTGCACATAATTTGAAGTACAGTCTTTAACATCAAGAGTAATATTACAATTTTGAAAAATATATGGTGTGATGGACTGAGTCACAGACTTCAGTGTTACCAAGGATCTTTTAACTAACTTTTAATATGATTTTGCAGTGGAAGTGCCATTTCAGTGGTCAAGATCCTTCGAGTTTTGAAAGTACTCAGGCCTCTCCGAGCAATCAACAGAGCCAAAGGGCTTAAGGTAAGGAAAATAGTACTCGTAGTTTAATGTGCTACCCTCTGGAGTTTTTGTGTGATATCAAAATCATTCAATATAAAGATATTGTATAATTCCTAAAAGTGTAGGATGTATTCATACCATTCTCTAGTGCTTTGAATCCCAATTTTACTTAAAGTAGAGTTACAAATATAGTAGCAAACCCCACTATGCATGTTGCCAGCTAAAGAATAGAAAATGTTTTGAAAATTAATTGATCTAGAATATACTCATATCTTCTACAAATAAAAAATCTTATGCAAAGTCATTACATGTACTTTCTCGTACATGATTGATCTCGACTTAGACCATTGTTGTTGCTGAATATAAAACTTAGTTACATGTTGTATAACAATTGTTTTATTATTTCATATAGAACTCAAGGATCTCAGCCTTCCACTTCCCTGAAATGAATATGCAATAAAATTTATCTCTGAACACTTAAATACAGTACATGAATAAAATCCATCAACTGTTCAAGCTGTCTGCATGAAAACTGACATTTCATGTTTGTGACCTTAATGCATATACCATTATTTTCCTGATGATACCACTTATATGGTTTTATTCAGGATGATGGTCTTCATAAATTACTGAAATTAATCAAAATAATTGCAGCCATTTTCAAGAAAATGACCATTTTGTTTTGGAGACCTATCTGAAGGGCCCCTATTTTGAAACTGGAGTGTCCATATTTCCTGGGGCATCGACCTGCAATGGAAAAACCCTTAAATATTACATATGAATAAAATCTATCTAACCATTCAAGTGCTAGCTTGGAGCACATATATTCATGCATGCATGCATACATACACACACACACAACATGCACACACGAGTTCCGAAAAAGCACTTTTTCATGTTCATGGATGCTGAAAACTTGTAAGTCCATCGGAATCTTGAGACCAATTTCTTCACGATCGCAGTACTTTCTCATACTATGTCTATAGGAAAGTAAAAAGTGATAATTCTGGGGTTTCCTTCTTTACTGTGCTGTTCCCACTGTGTACATACATACAGCATAAAGCAGCTGGCAGAAGAACTCTTAAGAGAGCCAAATGACCACATAGTTTGGTCCAGTGTTTTGATATATGTACACTATTACATAGCATGGGACACTGCGGATGAACATGACCCATGTTTAATCAAGTACAGGAGACAGCAAGGTGTAACCAAGACAGATAGTGCCTGGTATTTGTTGATGATGTATCTGTCCCTATAGCACGTAGTCCAGTGCGTGATAGTCGCAGTAAAGACTATTGGCAACATTGTCCTGGTCACCTGCCTTCTTCAGTTCATGTTTGCTGTTATTGGAGTCCAGTTGTTTAAGGTAGGCAGCAGTTAAACCAGTCAATGTTTAGTGGCAAATGCACCTCTGGGTATAGATTAATCTCTAATGGGTTTTCAGTTTTGATTTTTAATTTTATATTTGACAGTATGAATTTGTTTTCTTGTGGTGTACAAGTTTTTCTTTATTTGAATTAGTCCTTGTGGTTTTGTGTTCTCTGAAGACAATGCAGGGAGCCAGTCAGCAAGATGTTTGTGCTCCTGACCAATCTTGTTACGTTGCGTTTCATTGCGCTACGCCATGTTTGCCAGTGCCCAGACTAATTTGCATGTCAGTGTGACTTAGAAATTGTGTCGTACAATACCTGTCTATGTTTCTCCTTTTACCTAGTTCGTTAGCCCATATAGGAAAATAAAGTCCTGAATATCCTAAAATCTGTTACAAAATTTGATGCTCTTCACCAGTCATTCTAGGACCGGGCAGAGCATGGGAGAGGTCGCAAGGCTAGCAAGGGAGCCACCAGGTAACTGGAAGATCATTGGTTGGTTCCATCCTGATGCAATGACGGGATGATTCTTGCTGCATGCGCTGACTTTTCCTACGTGCTTTATAATTTATGTGGGGTAGAAGGGTAAATAAGCATAGGAAATATTGAAATATTATAACATTTTATTTTGGGATTTACGTAGGAAAGAAAATGGTTGTGTAGTTGCCTCTTTTCCTTGATGTCGTGCTATATATGTTAGATTTAAAATTAAAACTGTTTCCTATTGGGTTCTTGTTATGAAATGGCTTGGTTGCAAATTGCTTGCTGGCTCCCTCAGCTGTCATTCCGGTCCCCCCACACAATTGTTCTTCATCGAAGTTTACACACGATTTCAGTGGCCTGAATTTGATTTATTTTGATTTTCAAAACTGATTTATCTCTAATCCTGTGGGATAGTAAAAGGAATCTGGAGAGAGTAAGATGCTGGCCAAACGGTTACTCAGGCAACAACGAGCTAGACAGGGAGAAACAAACAGAAAGCAGAAGCAACAAGAAAATCTAAAGCAGCTTTGAGAAGTGGATTGTTTATTAATAATTCTAAAATAATCTAACAGTTTTTTTAATCATCTGAGTTTGTTTTGTTTGGTTTGGTTGCTTGTGCATTTCTAGTTTTAGGATTTTTCATGGTGATAACATGAATGTTGCTGTTTATTAGGAAGAATCTGTTTGTGTGTTTCAGTCAGCATCTTAATCTGGCCCAGGCTCGCTTGCTTCTTTCCCTCCATGACCCACCTTCCCAACCAAGTGCTCAGCATGGAGTTGCTCTGCTCCGGTATTTTGGTCCCTTAGGTGCATTTGACCGGATGCCTGTCTGCCTGCCTGTTGAAGGCTTTGGGCTAGTGTAACTGAGACAAACCAATTCCATACTGACATTGCCTCTCTCTCTCTCTCCTCCCCTAGTACGTAGTGAAATGCGTGATAGTAGCCATTAAGACGATCGGCAATATCATGCTGGTAACCTACCTCCTGCAGTTCATGTTCGCTGTCATTGGAGTGCAGCTATTCAAGGTAACTCCCACCACTACATGTGTTGTGCTTGCTTGCTGCACTGCCACAGTCAACACGCTTCTCACAGTACCTCAGTTTAGTGAACAAGTGTCCTCCCTTTCTCCTCTCTTTTCTGTGTCAGATACCTACAAGTACCTGCTTTGCTAAGTTGTGTGCTTGCAGAATTGCATGTCCTTTACATATATCCATTTATGCTTGTTTTCTTTAAATTGGCTTGCTTGTAGCTTGCTTGCCTTCCTTTTGCTTATTTGTGTTTGTGTCGGCTTGCTTGGAGTTTCTACCCATCTTGAACAGTGTTTTCTTTTTCTCTAAACATTCACCTTTTACCTGTTCAATGCTTGTCAAATACTTATTTAGCATCCTGAATTTTTTATCATTGCATTCCTTTCTTCTCTCTTCTTATATTTTAGAATAGTAAGATCTTAAGACTCAAGTTGCATGTAGTTAAATGTAGTATAAAAATTATATAAAATTCTCTTTGTTTGGTTACAATTTACATACTTCTCTAGTATGCAAATACAACACTTCTTTATTGAAAGTTTTGTAAACTTAAATTAATTTAATATACGAGGTTTTCAGGTTGTCACAGTGGTGAATAGTAAGGTTACAGCTTCCTGAGGAATGATGCCATGTACTCTGGAAGATAGGTGCTAATGTTAGAGTACTACTATTGCCCTGGAGATATCAGCAGCAGGTTCCTCTCATATGTTCGCACCTGTCTACAAGAATACACAGTATCACAACCCAACGACTACAGTCACCACCAAGAAAAGTGAAAATCTCATTTAGTTCCATTTATAGATTAATCTCTGTTTTAATGTGCCATCTTCATTGCATTCAGTTCATTAATGTTTAATAGGCAAATTAGTAAAAACTGCATGTTTCACAGTTTCCTTATTATATGCATGCAGCAGTCATATACAGTGGTGAAATTCTGGGAATATCATTTGAAATTACAAAATACATAATTCATATTTCTTGTAATGAATAATTTCACTGCAAACATATTTTTACTTTCTGTCTGCTTTTTGGCTTTCTATACCAGCTCACCTAAAGTTTGATATAAAGGCATTTTAAAAAATATGACTCATCAAAATGTATTTGGCTGCAGTTTGAATGCTTTCTGTGCATTATTTTGTTATGTGCATATTTTTCTATACTGACACAGCTTGCCAGTGATATTTACATTCTTCATGCTGCCCCTTGTTGACAATTATGTATATTTCTGTTTATTCTGAATATGAACTTTAAGATGACTTATGTCATCAGATAATAACAAACAGAGCAGAGAATCTACAATGCTTCTGCAGTTCACTGTCAATTTAAGTGTAAGATTGAGAGAAAATGGAATTTAACAGCAAAATCAGCCAGTCTGTTTTAATTCATGAACCACAGTTGATCGGGTTATTCCATTACATCTTCTAGGATGTGACTGAAATCTTTATAAAATCTTGTATAATTCAAAAGGTGGGCATATATTATTTTAAGTAGTGTATTATTTGTGTCCTGTGTTTTATGAATAGCAAAAAGTGCAAAATAACTTCTGTTGTATATATATATGGGTGATCTTTTCTGTGGGTACATGTGTTAAATATGTTCAGCACCATTTTGTTATTGAATGCCAAAATATTTTTTGTAATATATGAATCATAATTTATGCATATTTGGAATCTTTCTTAGATTATAAATAGCCCTACTTGATATTCAGTTTGTATTTTAAAAAAATACCTATTTGTGATAAACTCTTCTCAGGTGATCAGCCTTGTCATTGTTGAGTTAAAACCAACTTTTCAGAGATATCCATCTCCATGATCAGGATCAGTGGGATATTGACCCTGATGGTGGATATGGAGAAGATCCCTGAAATATTTGTTTTGAACTCAACATTGACATTACTGATTGCCTGAGAAGATTTTAGCACATTTATTCACTGTGAAAGCTTAAAAATCTTACAAAAAATACCTGTTATTAATTACCAGTGTGAAGGGTGTGCTTTCAGTTCTCTCCAATTAACAGCAGCATACATTACTGAACTGATTCTTGTTCAATGGTGTGCTAAAATATTTATATCAGTATTTCAGCAGGAATCTTCCAACCTTCTTGGGCACATTAACCAACTGATTTTGTGTAAGAAAAGTGTTGCTGAAGTTCAGGGAGTAATGGCAGTTTGGAAACCTAATAAAGATAGACCATAAATGAGGGGTTAAATGAAAAATTTCTTAACAGTGTCATTGTAAAACTAAAAGAAGTGCAGTTCAGTTCATAACTATATACCTATAACTGAAATGCATATTTAGGCATGGGCTATTATTGAAGTAATTGTGTTCAAATATGCATTCATGTTTTAAGTGAACACTTCAAATGGTTTTTGTAACTTTTTTTTTCTTTATTAAATAAAACTTATTTTAGTTCTGTATTGAAACTTATATGAAATTATTCATTAGAGATCCTTATTTCTTGTTCATATTTAGCTTCTTCTAAATTTCAGTGAGAGCCAGGATAGCTCAGGCGGTATAGTGACTGGCTGCAGGCTGGATGCCTGGGGTTGGAGGGCAAAAATTTTCTCCTCTCCACGTCATCCAGACTGGCTCTAGGGTTCACCCAGCCTCCTATACAATGGGTACCAGGGGCTCTTTCCCCAGGGTCGTTACGCTCATCACTCTCCTCCAGCTAGTGTTGAGGCCAAGAAAATGTGGATATATATATCCCCTCCCCATACACCTTTATGGCATAGTGCTTAATTAGTTAAGCACAGGGATAACTTTACCTTTTACCAAATTTCAGTAACTCCTTACATTTTCCACATTGGACACTTGTTAATTGGACTTTTCTTCCTCAAACTTACTTGACCAATAAAATCCTGAAGTTTGTCACACTCCACCTGAATCACTTTGTATATTTTTCATGTGTTCTGTGACATTTACACACCTCTTCATTCTGTGAAAAATGTGGCTTATGATAGCGAAATGAATTACCCTTGATCTGGACTTTTAAGAACATAAGCTACATTTCTAAGTACACCATCTTCATCTCAAAGCAATGAATGTTGAGGAAAGATGGTAATTGTAAAGAACAAACAACAAACCAAAATACCAGTTCTATAATTATTTGATACATTTTTATGTATGTTTCATGCATAGGCTTCCTCAGTTTCCATGCTGTCTTTACCTCTTGAGACTTCATTTATAAAAAATACTTTGTGTCCTATTTGTTTAAAAGTTAAGTGAGAATTTCTGGAAAAAGTTTAATCATATTCCTATTGTAACTTTTTGGGCTTTCACTGTGTCTGCAAACTAGGCTTTTTGCTGGTATGCAGTGGTAGCTAGATTTTTGGTGAGGACTTTGTCACAAGCTCTAAGTCAAGAAATAAGCCATCAAGCCAATGTTCTGCTCAAAATAATGGAAGTCTTGTAAACATAATGCATGGCAGTGGCAAGGTGCATGGGTATTTCATGATCACAAGTTTGATTGAAATTGGCATGACTTATGACGAGCAAAACAGCTCTTTGTGTAGGAAATATGATGCACTTATCTTTTATTTTAATTTCTTTAGCCATTTTTTCCTCCTCCATTCACTTGAAAGCTGTCAGAGCCAAGTTATCTCTGAGAAGTTAATCCATAAGTTATGGAGTAGGTGAATCCATCCTGGACCAGCTTTAAACTTATTTTAATTCATATTGAACTGTGAAGTTCATTATCTTCCAGTGGCTGAGGCTGCAGATCATCACCACAAATTTTCATTACTTTAATATGACTGTGCTTTCATCAGAAGAATAGAACGCACCAAATACTGCATTGAATATTTTGTATTGTGGAGATCATAGGTTCGAATTATACACAGAGCCTGACAATTCTCAGTCAGATTTTCTGTGATTTTTCCTTAATTCCTCAGACAAATGGCAGAATAGTACCGAGACCACTTCACGTCTCATCCAGTTCATTGTCCACAAAAGCGTTCTGCCATTTCAGTTGTATAGTCAGAGCTATGGATAACATCATAAATAAGTAATATAAATGATATTTATATTCCTGATCTACAGTTCCCGTGTCTTTTGTGAGCCATAATGTGTCCCACTGCATCATTCAAAGACAAAAACTTGCATATGAATATATTTGGCAACATGATTCTTGTGACGCTTAGGTTGCCTCATCCTGTATAGACTGGAATTAGCAAGAAGTGGGACCAACAGTGCAGCTTTAAATTCAGCACTGGAATAATATGTATTTTAAGCTAAAATGAGTGCTCACTTTATCATTTTGCTTGTAGTTTACTTAACGGCACTCTCAGCAAATTGTACTATACAGTAGTGAAGGGTAGTGAATAATGAAATGGAACAGATGTGGAAGGCAGTTATCCTGGTGTAATTTAAGATATTACACTTAATATTTTCCATGACAGACTGTAATAAACCATGATAAACCTCAGGATAGCCGGTATCCTCACAAGCACTACTCAGGAGCATTGTATAAACTGAACTAACTTGCCCAGTGAATGACCAGTTATCACACGTGGAACTGAATCCTTCTTGAGAAGTCGCCAATTATGCAGATACTCAAGAGCTTCCCAGCATTATATGAAACCCAAAGGTTCATTACCATGTTCACAAGAGCCCTCCACTGGTCCCTATCCTGAGCCAGATCAATCCAATCGATACCATCCCATCCTACTGTTTACTTGTACTCGTGAATATTTAAATTGAACACTAATATGACTTCCTGTGATGGTCTTCTGGGATATGGCGCTGTGTAGTTTAGTAGATGTTTCATAGACACCTGCTGCCTCCTTCTTCAGGGTAGAAGCTGCAAGCAGCAGTTTCTTCAAATAAATGGCACCCATCCATGAGACATCCAGAAGATTGTAATCTTACTATGCACTATAGGATATTGGTGGGAAAGCCAGAAGGAAAGAGACCACAAGGAAGACCAAGGCGTAGGTGGGTGGAAAATATTAGAATGGATCTTAGAGAGATAGGATGGGATGGTATGGATTGGATAGATCT